CCTGCTGCATCTGGAATCAACTTTTTCAGACTGCAACAAAACAAAAAAGTAAAGTTTTGGACCAGAAAACAAAATAAATTGCCATCTTTAAAGAGATATTTCTTTCTTTTTTTTAAAGTTCCTCAGTTGGACTATATAATGTGTAAATATAACTTCACAAGTTCTTAAAGCAAGGCAAACACACAAGTGAGACCATTAGGCTTAAATCAATCTCACAAAAAAGACAATCATCATAAACAATATGAATTTATCATATAGTCCCCTAGATGACATTTTATTCTGGGTGCTGTAGTGTAACTTTATGGAAAACAATCTTATACATAAAAAACAACCTTTATTGGTTTTTGGAGTTGTTCACCTCCTAATTAAAAGCCAAACAAAGAACACGGTAAGTATTCATAACACTTTCACTCCTCTGCTCTTCATTGACATCTTTTTCTACTTATTATATTCATGTGTGTGGCACTTAATGGATCTTCTGTTCTGTTTGGAAATGGCTGCCTATAATGCCTCCATAATGCAGAGACATAATAAGCAGCCTCTTTCATGTGTTGAGGTGAAGTGAGTCCCTGAGGGATTGACTCTGTGCGGCTCAAAGACGAGATTTCCTCTCACAGATGAAAAGGAAATGAAAGTGGGTGGGGAGCAGTGCAAAAGGAGAGCAGAAGAGGATGAGAGGGAGTTCAGGGGGAAAACAGAAAGAGAGAGAGAGGGGTGTGAATAGAGCGAGAGAGAGACTGAGGGAAGACAGAGCAGAGAACGTGGGTGGGACATGAATAAGGGAGACAGACAGAGGAGAGGGAGATTAAGTACAAGTGAATGTGGAGGTTAGAAAGATAATTGATAATAACTGCAGAAGGGAATAAGTTATACACCAAAAGTAAAACACCAAAACCTGCATTTTAAATTATACGAAAAATAGCTATAACCAAGTAAATATACTTTTTTTTGTTTATTTGGGGGCTTTTTATGCCTTTAGTTAGAGTTAGGACAGTGGATAAAGGAGACAGAAAGAGTAGGGAATGACATCAAGAAAGGAGCCGCAGGTCCGATTTAAACCCGGTTTAGAGGACTATAGCCTCTACAGGCGACCCAGCACAATATACTTTCATATATATAATTATGTATTTATTTTATTATTTCTTTAAGGACTGTCGCCTCTTTTCTTTCTCTCAGTTCAGAGTGTTATGGCTGTAATGTCCTTGTGTTCATAAGCCTCTAGGTTTGATTACGGTTCAGATCAGCTCACATTTTTTTTAAATCACAGATTGGATCCTTTTAAGGATCAGCAAAAAAAAAAAAAAAAAGATGTTCATAACTTTTCTCCTCCTCAGCTAGCTGTGACTCAAGTTGCATATTAACAGCACTACAAATCAAAATGCATCTCCATGAATTTGAATAATGTATCACATCCTGAATTTTCTTCATTATACACACAACAATAATAATAAGAGTTAAATAAACCTGAAATCTTTTCATTTATAACTTGTATTGAAAAACCAGAGAACAAAAGACTGAAATGTAAAAAACCTGCATCAGTTCAGTAACAGTATATCTGTTACCTCCCATCAGGCGCGTGCATTTAGGGGCTTTATCTTCCGTTTTTCGACTGAACACGAACACAGAACATTGTAACAGAGTTTGTTTGTCTATGTTTAAAGCTACAGACTACAGCAGGCTGTAACATAACTTAGGATAAGTTTCTGATTGATTATATACGTAGCCATCAGTTGGATGCTTGCATGATAATTACAGACCTGGTGAGATGGAACCCCTTACAATCTTTCAGGATTAAATCTGTACAGAAACTATCTTTCCTCAGATAACATGAACCCAATAAAATCACATGTTCTCAAGTTTAAAGTCCTTTGTGGACAGTAAAGGTCAAAAGGCAAAATAGTATTGAGATATAAAGAAACCTTTATTGTTTGAGAGAAGATGCACAACGCAATCTCTACTGGTAAATGGACTTGAGCTTGTATAGTGCTTTTCCTCGTCTGACTACTCAAAGTGCTTTTACACTGAATCACACCTACCTATTCACACCCTGATGGCAGAGGTTGCTAAGTAATGTAACCATCAGAAGAAACTAATGACACATTGGACATGTGGATGCAGGACCTGGGGATCAAACCCCCTGACCTTCCAGTTAAGTGACGACTGACTCTACCAACTGAGCAACAGCCGCCCTGGAACCCTAAGGCATTACCAACAGATCACCAAAGAATAAACCCACTAATACAAAGTACCTAAATAACCTATCTGTGTTCCTTTAAAATGATGAGTGTGTAACCTTAATAACAAATACTAGTGCAAATTAAAAACTGAGAATGAAGCAATTTGTAATTAAAAGATAAAGCTATAATAACTGCATTAATGAAGAATGAAATGATTTTGATGAGTTATGTCTGACACATACGGTACATCCTACCCTGCACTGTGTTAAAGAAACACATGTACTTTAATGCACAGTGAGGGGAACAAGTAACAGAGTGGAAGAGACAAAGTGACACTGACAGATAGTGAAACAAAGCCACAGAGAGCCCTGCAGCAGCATGGTAGCAGCATGTGATGTCGTCCAGGTAACAGAGCAGTGCAGGTGGTCCCAATCCCCTAGAGGCTGATTAAAGGTGGCAAATAATGTACAGCATCTCTGAGGAAGCTGCTCAGTCTGCAAAACCTTCATTCACTGTACATACTGTAGCTATGTGATTTTCTTCCTGTCATTCAATCATACTTCAGACTACTGTACACTGAGGAAAGAGATCATTACCACAAACTGATCAATTCAATGAAGATCAAGGTCAAGGTTGTCTTGATTATCCCTGTGAGGGGCAATTTGTTGTGCAGTCAGCAGTAAAATACATATATACAGCCAGCAATCAGCATACAACATAAGAATGGACAATAATTAAATACAATAGATTAAAAATTTACAAAAAAAAAAAAAAAAAAAAACCCAATTAGAAGAAACTATTTTAAAATGCTTGTTGATGAATGGAAGTTGGATCAATTATTTCTGAGGAATTCCAGGAAGTTGTGATATCTAAACCCTGATTGGCTTTCGCAGCACAGCATCAAGACATTTTGTTGCTCAGATTGACTTTTTTTGTTTCGTTTAAAGAGATAAATAAAATGTCATCAGATACCACCAATGCCAGTTGGCATGCCATTATGGCAGATTTGGTTCTGCCTGTTTTTGCTCTTAACATGGGATTGTTTTTTCTGCTAAAGCCAACGCCTGCTGATGATAGGTGTTTGGTCAATACTGGTTAATCTACAAATGTACTTCAAAAGGGAACAAAAGCATTTCCTTAACTGCATATAGGTCAACTCCAGCGGATAGTTCATTTTATGTAGAATCTTTAAAGCAAAATGAGCTAGTAAGTGGTTAAAGACTAGTTTTTATTTTTGTTGTTTTATCGACTGAAACATAAGAAGAGAAGATGGTTATTGTGAGTATATGGTGAATATGTTTCTTTAATACCATTCAGTGTGTTCTGATATTATAATCTCTGCTTTTCAAGAGCTGTGATAATTGTGATTTTCAGTGAATGAAAAATATCCTCCTTAATAAATTTCACACAAATAATAGGCCTACTGTAAAAATACTCAGAGATGTGTTCATTTTGCAGTGTAAACTCACACTCCCACACCTGCAAAACCAGCATGCGTGACAAATATCACAGGAAATGTAAAAAGCCCTCTCTTGACCGCTATCAGATCAAGGAAAAAAAACACATGTACCCAAATGTGTAATTTTACTAAGCAGACCCGAGTGCTGCAGAGTGGCTCATATGATCCGACAGGGGTCTAAATATAGGATGCTGCTGCTGCATGATTTCTTCTGCTTGAGCAGGGATTCACCCAGCCTCAGCCCAGAATGAGAGGAGAGATGAAAGGAAAGAAACAGAGACGAAAGGAATGAAGGAGGAGAATTTAGGGCCATGTTTTAAAAAAATACTTTGGTTCTGCGTGTGATCCAGTGTGTGTGTGTGTGTGTGTGTGTGTGTGTGTGTGTGTGTGTGTGTGTGTGTGTGTGTGTGTTAGAGAGAGATGTAAGCTCAGTCACATGGCTGTGCATCCTTCCCCATCCATCACAGCATAGAGGAGGGCCAGCAGCTCTGTAATCTCTGTAGATCTGTCTATAAATTCTGGCTGCTTTACAATCTGTCCATCAGCTCATCATAGGCCCACTGGCTGCAGTGTTGTGACCTCAGCTTGGAGCAACTAAAAGAAGCAGACAGTCCATTAAAAGGATCAAGATTTGGCTACTTCGACCACAAGTGTCATATCATCCTTACCAAATTTAAGATTGAGTCATCAATCAAGTCTGAGTACCTATGGTCTTGAGTATTTAAACTTAACGGCTGCATTCAAGTTTACTTATAGTGAATTTAATTAAATACTAGTTTCCACAGGAATAAACAAATATTTGGCATCTCGTGCAAAGTGTGCAACCTAATATTAGGGCCTCTCAATCTCGAAGTCATGGGTTGAATTTTTATTTCAGCTCATCCCTGATGGGGCGATGTTAGAGTCAGGGGCAGTACAGGGACTGCACCCCGAGCCGTCCGTGCCTTTCCTCAAACAAAACCTCAGCAGTACTCGGAAAAACGAACTGGCACCGATATAGCTACCAGTCCCAATTTCCAAACTTGGCCTGCATCAGGACTTGATGGCGTCCCTCCTGTTCCCAACCCAAGTGCTTAATGAGCTAATGCAACTATAAGTACAAATTGAATGACCTTCAAGTAATCAGTAAGTGTTATAATTTTAACTCTTTCATTTCTGATCTCCAACTAAATAATTATAGAGTTCATCTTTAATGACTTTTTTTTTTCCAATATGAGGGTTTCGTACATTTGAACAGATGGTGACACCGTGTGGCTATCAGCGGGATCTCACCTGTCATATCGTACACCACCTAAAGGCGGCAGTGTCTTAAAGCAGACCAGTCTTTCCCGTCCGGCAGCTTCCTCCCTTGACTTGACTCTTCTTCTTTTCTGCCGGGAGCAAACCTCTTTCTCTTCCGGTTGTCGTCTGTTCGTGTGGCAGGTATACAGTTTTCCGACCCACTTTGACTTTTTAAAATCTACATTAATCTTCGTGCGTTTTACATTTTCACACCGAAACGTCAGCGCATTTTGATAAAGCACTCCACTGAGTATCTTTCCGCTTCAGTATGTTGCGGATGTGATGCTTAATAATGGTTGAAATAATCACTTTAAAAAATGCTAACGCTGAATGTAGCAAAGCAGCCTCTTCACAGCAGCCAAACGAGTCTCATTTACATTGTTTACATGTAACATTATGGTCCCAATATGTACCTTTAAATTAATGTTTGACTGCGATTGTTTCGCTTTGAAGTTGTCCATTTATTTCACATCTGTTTACGTCTTAGTAAGTGGATGCAAACTGAAGTGATGCTCAACTATATGTTCCTGTTTCTCTGTTCAGATTAACTAGTGTCGAAATGGCAAAGTCCAAGAACCACACCACCCACAACCAGTGTAAGTAAGCCTGCAGGGATTGTTTACAAATGAATAAACAAACATTTTCTACGCCACATAGCTATGTCAGATGATGTTTAGCAATATTGTCTCCTTGCTTAAATGTTATTTGCTAAATGTGTTAGTGTTATTTGCTGATTGTGAAGTTGATTGAGAAGTATGTGTATTGTGTTAATTGTTAATGTTGCCTTCTTTCCACAGCCCGTAAAGCCCACAGGAATGGCATCCACAAGCCCACATCTCAGCGCTACGAGTCTCTGAAGGGGGTATGTATTGGTTGCAGTGTTGTGCTGTCAGATATTTATGTTTGCATGCTCACAGAACACAAGATTAATCAGAAAAATCAGATTTGTAAGGTCGGGTCTCCTCAAAGCGGGTGCGTGTTGCATGTTGCAGGTCAGCAATAAGATATTAAACCCATAAATAACCAAGTTAAGGAGCTAGTAACGTAAATGCATTCACTGCAAGATTGATCCATCTGGGAAGTTTTACTTTTGTGAGGAGCATGTGTGAAAGCAAATGTCGCCGTCTCTTTGCCAAGACTTTTTCCTGCCAGCCCCTAGAATAAAAAAATGTGATGTCACTGTTAACAAATGTGTGAATCACAAACATTCACTGCAAGCAAGTGAGCAGGTTGATGACATTGTCCATGTTAAGCAGTGTTTCTCTGCTTCATACATTTTACTGCACATCCGACTGCATAATGGTGTTTTTTTAAATTACTGTACATGTTATATGGTAGTGGTATTATCCCAGAAATAGCCTTTAATTAACATTAAACAGATGTGATTCCAGATTTTGTCTTGAAATTTTAACCCTGCAGACCTAAAATGTTAGACACAAATGGGCTATGTTTTCTGTTATATTCACAAACCCCATATGGAGACTGCTTCAGAATAATTTTTTTATCCATCAATGATCATTGTGTAAGGGCGTTTTTAAACCTAACCTGTTTGGTTCAGTTAAAACAAATTTGAGTCAGTTTGCAAAGTGAGTGCGGTTTGTTTGCACTGGTCTGAAAGCTGTCACTCAAACCCTGATGCGGATCAAAACACCGTACTGAGACCGCTGTCTTGGCCAGTTTCAGGACTCTGGTGCATTACGGTTGTAGTTAGAACATGCACCGACTTCAATTCGATCTAACTGCAAGAAGCATTGTGGTAGATTTTTAATTTAAACCAGCTATGGTAGCCAGTCACGCAGTGCATTATGGGTAGGTTTTAGGCTTAGCCTTTCACTACTATTACAACAACAGCAGCATGATACATCGTAGATAGACTAAGGAGGTGCCGTGGCTCATAGAGATTTGGTGGGATGACTAAGTAAACGACAATTTTCATGAACACACGAAAACTCCAAAATCTACTCGCTCTGATTAACGTGCACCTTTCCCTGAACTGTCTTGATAAACGCTTTCAGCGACTCCAGTACATCAACTTTTCTGAGATTTTTCCCATAAAAAAAAAAAAATGTCCCAGTGTTAACATAGACCAAACTTTGAGGTTAGTATGCAACAGTGTAACAAATTGCTCCACGATTCAGACCAGAGAAAACAAGCTATGGGTGAGAAACTTAAGCCTTTGAGTAGTGTCTGGATGCTCTGCAGGTGATTAGAGCAGGAGACATTGGCTGTTATGCAAATATTGATGTTCAACATCAGATGTCATGAACCTTCTTATGCTTAAATTTTTATAATTTTGGTAGCTGAGGTTATTCTGCACATTGTACTTTTCTCTAAGCCTGTTCACATTGGCCTCACCTGTTGTTGTAATAATGAAATTGCAAGTGAAACTTTTCTTAAACAGTTTAAAATGAAATAGTGTTGACAAACCATTTTTTGGTGTAGACAGAATCATATAAAATAAATCTTTGTGCATTTAAACACAGTTATGAGTGCACACATTCGTTCAAATAGTGCGGAAAGCGATGGAGGAAGGAGGAGAGCCCTTGTTTGCCCACTTTTGTGGATAAGGACATTATGATACATTACATCAACCTTGACTGAGTATAATACAAGTTGTAAGACTGGCTGTGATGTGGTTTCAGGCAGACTGGTTTTAATGTCTAGCAAATCTCACTTTACTCGGGTAGCGTAGATGGAACAGTAAAGAGAACAAATTTACTTCAGAGATAAATCTCTGGATAATAACATGATAATCTTGGTCACTGCTTACTGTCAGTGATCAGCTCTGAATGTAACCACTCACATCACATAAAGTAATTTGCAGGCCAATGTGGTGTTTGTGTCGCTGATTTTTTAAAAATGTTTTCACTGAAATGCAACACTAGGATGAACTACTCTATCAAGTGATGTTGTTTGTCTTAGCCCATGTTTTATCTGCCTTATTGTGTTTGTAAGATTTCCAACCACTAAGCTTAATACAAATAGATCTTAGTATTGTTTAATACATCCACGTATGTCCCCTCTGCTCAATTTCCTGTCTGTTCTCGCTCCTTCAGGTGGACCCTAAATTCCTGAGGAACATGCGCTTTGCCAAGAAGCACAACAAGAAGGGCATGAAGGCAGCGCAGAAGAAGGCAGCACCTCAGGCGGCAGCACCTTGAGTGAAATGATCTGTCCTCCGGTCACTTCCCTGTCTGCCTATGTTCATGTTTCCACCATCACAATAAAGCTATGCTTTGTTAACAAACCAACATCTGATTGTTCATTTTTATGAAAACTACCTTTGTCTACTCTCCTGTCTACTTCCCATTGCATAACTTAAGAAAATGCAGAAAGATCCTTAGTGCAAATAGGTTCAGAAGGTTCTCATTTTAAAAAGGGATTAAGCAAGTTGGGGTTTAACTTTGGATCTGTGTTGGTAAAACATTTCCCACCAAGCAGGTTAAGAACACCCATTTAGATGAACTCATTATGATAAGAGAAATGCCAACCTCTTAACAACTGACAGAAAAAGACATGATTGAATTATGCTTTTTTAAAACCACCATATTCTGATCTGGAAATGTAACATTTACGAAGGACGAATGTTATTTTGAAGTTCACAGATGCAAGTTTATTATTCGCCTTTCACTTACTAATACATTCAGTTATCAGTAGAAGCCTGATCAAACTACCAACCATAATTGTGAAATTTAAACTGAAGTGCTTGCCGGTCAAAAAAGAAAATCTTTAAGCTGATTCTGTGGCCTTTTTAGACTTTAAGACTGCTGGACATGAAATTCATATGCCTACTTAATGCATATTTTGGATCACATACTAGCTGTGTCTTGGAAGAAAGAGGTGATACCATGTAGAAAGTGAGACATTTAAAAAGCCTGCATTAAAAGCTTGTAAGATATAAGCACCAAACGATATTAAAAAAAAAAAAATGGAAATATACTGTAAAATCGGGCAGAAAATGAGGACGTGCAAATTTACAGATTCAAATGTATTGAGTGACGAGTGATGAGCTTTCATGCTGAAAATTGGGGATGGGCTCGGGTGAAGTTGCGGGAAACTTTTGGAGTTGGCATTGAATCTTTGTAAGCTGTTACATTTAGAAAAACATCATACAAACATTATACCCCCCCACCCAAGCCTTGAAGCGAAACAAAACATGACCAGAACATAATGTTATAGAAATGTGTATTTAATCAACAAAGAATATATAGTAACTAAGCAGTTTACTCACTAGTTAATATCTTCTATCAAAATTGTCATTGCTATCAATTATCTTCTTTGTCATCAGTTAAAAGAGTACGAATAATAGAGATGTATTTTTTTTTTCTCAAATCAATCAAAGTCTCTGACTAGAGATACAATGAGAGAATAAAACCAGCGAAAGCCTCAATGATTGTTTCTAGATTTATGCAGCAAAACCTAATTTTAATTGTCGCAAAATATTCTAAGATAATGTCTCTAGTATATGTTAGTGGAACCGTTTTTAAGCATGTTTCTTTTTTGTTTCTTACACTTTCTCATTTCACTACTACTACACGCTGCAGTCGCACTTTTAAGAAGTCTGCGTAAAGTCGTCACTTCCGCTCACGCTGACTCCAGCTTGCATCATTTCTTGTCTCTTTTGGCTGCCGGGGCCAGACAACATGTGAGTACATTCATTCAGATTTATCACCCACGACGTGAAGGTTAATAACAACGTTCACGCTTGATATTACAACTGCGTATATATGTGAACATTCAAGCGCTGCCTTTAAGGAACTTTGCTGCCGGGTTGAGCATGAGTTAACTAGTTAAATGTAGCATTAACTGGCTAGCTTAGCCTGTCAGCTAACAACAAGGAGGAGTCATTCATGTGCACTAACTGTTGTGAAAAGTATCTAATTGGACTCGTTTAAATAGCTTTAGTACTGTTTATGCTGTTGCTTGTCAACATGGAAACAAATACATTGCACATGATATAATTTTGCGCCTGAAGTAATGAAAGAAGTGCATGTTCTGTTGAGCTGTGACAGGTTTCGACAGATGGATAACTTTTACTAACAAGACCCAAAATGAACTGTGAAGGCCAGAAGACATACAAGAAGTTACTATTTAACTTTGACTGGCTAACTCATCAGATGTAGGTTTAATCGTAGCTTGGCCAAACCTTTTTGTTTCAGTGTGGATAAGTGAGTTTGTGCTATCAGTAAGATTTAGGTCTTTACTTAGTCTTTGTTGTTTGTCTATGGCCATTAATGAATAGGTAAGCTCCTGATGTGGAAGGGAGATGTTCATTATTTGATCTTTTAGAGATACTGCACTTGAATTTGTTTCTGTGTAATCCTGCTGGACAAGTTTATTAAGTTGCATTTTTCTTTTCTGTGTTGTGTGGCAGAAGTCATGGTGGAGCGGGTCCCCGAGTCCATCAACTTTCCCTCCGAGGAGGAGAAGATCTTACAGCTGTGGAAAGACAAGGATTGCTTCCAGGAATGCCTCAGACAGTCCAAGCACAGGCCCAAGTAAAAACTGCTTCTGCTTTACAGTTATTATTAATCGTTGAGTTGTGCTTTAGAAGAGGAATCTTTGTTATAACAGATTTTATCCGCAAAGCCTGGGAGAAGAGACAAAACACATTGTTTAAGACTGAACTGTGACAGGAACATGCATCATGTTGTGAAATGTTAACCACTGACACTGAATTTCTGTTGTCTTATAAACCCATGAGGGTTGGGCACTTTGTGTGCATGACACGTAAATAAATACAATCAATCAATCAATCAAAAAAAAAGATTTTCTATGCACAATATGACCCTAATTTTGTTAAGAGTTTCACTCAAGACACCTAAAATATTTGTTTAATTTTAATTGACATTTACTGCTTTAAGCATTTATAAACTTTAAAAGATATATGTACGGTTTAACATGATGATCTTCGACAAAACATGATTACATTTTCCTACTCTCTAAACTAGTCCTGGAAATATTATAGGTGATCAAAAATGTTAAAATATCAATCGAGAAAATGTAATCATATTTCATTTGGGGGGAAAAATTGTTTTGATGTAGCAACTACTACTTGCCCGTCTTTGCACGGAGAGTAACAGCAACAACGCCTTCTTGTTGTATCTTGTGATATTGGCAGAGGTGAAGGATTGATTGTTTACTATAATTCATACCAGCTGTTGGACTGCCAAGTAAAGAAGCTGCATTTCCTGGCTAACCAGTTATTGTAAGGGTGCACTCACAAGAGGCAATCTGTACCTCTGAAGTCCAGTTCCTTTGACTAGTGTGTGTCATGTTCTCTGTTATTCTCAGATGTGCAGACGCGGACTCGACCACGCGTCCCTATTATATTTTTTTATTTTCGAGTCTGTCTTGTAAACAAGGCCTGCTTCATAAACACAAAACCATGCATGTGTTGTATTATGATGTTACGTACAAGAGGGTAACCATGCTCAGGCCAGTGGAGGAATGGGGTCATTGAATGTTAAGTCAGTCACCACAAACAATTTACATTTGGAGTTACAAGCTGATCTGTTAAGTTAATCAAGTAATTAAATCAAAATAACTGGAAAGAGCCTCAAAAGTAATATATAGCTTTAGGGGTGGTTTCTGCTGGTGTTGTTCTATTTTGCTGAAAACTACTGCATGTGTGCATTTATTTCATTTTTCAAAATGATGTATTTTTTTATTTTTCAGCCAACAAAGATTTTAATGTCAGGATGACATTTGCTGAATAAAACTGCATTAGCTGAGGAGAACTTTGGCCACAAGCAGATCTTGTTTACTAACAGTGGTTGAAAGAGGACATGCAGAATATTTGTTTAGTTACACTTCCAGGACAAACTTCATTGTAAATACCAGCGTGTAACTGACAAGATCTCAGCATTATTGTTTGGATCAAACAGCTGTGACATCAGCATCATTCTTTGTATCTTTTCATGCTTTTCTTGAGATGTACAGAGCAGTAAAATGCTGCCTTTTCTGTATAATCAGCCATATCTACATTCAAATAACAGAGCAGTGTTAAGGTTGCAAGTGGAAAATACTTCCAGACCTCAAACACATGTTGCTTATTTTCCAACCAGGTACACCTTCTACGATGGCCCTCCTTTTGCCACAGGTCTACCCCACTATGGACACATCCTAGCCGGCACCATTAAAGACATTGTCACTCGCTTCGCACACCAGAGCGGCTTCCATGTGGACAGACGCTTTGGATGGGACTGTCACGGACTGCCTGTGGTAAAAATCTTTTTCATGGATATCACAAAACTGTACTAAAAGTTCTTCTGTATACTTACAGATGTATTGGTGGGTGTTTTATGTGCTTTGTTTTGTAGGAGTATGAGATTGACAAGACTCTTGGGATCAAAGGGCCTGAAGATGTGGCAAAAATGGGGATTGCCGAGTACAACAAGCAGTGCAGAAACATCGTCATGAGATACTCCAATGAGTGGGAGGTGAGCATGCAGGATGTGTAGTATGATCATGTGAGAGTTCCTACAGTTACAAGACAAATGTCCAACAGTAGATTGACCTGAATCCTCTCAAAAATATATTAAGGCTCTGCTACCTAAATATCTCACATGTGCACAATATCCTTTTTCATATACAAGTTTTATACCCCTCTGTCATTTTCCCCCAGCCTTTGATAAAGACTGGCTTAAAAAAATCGTTAATAACAAGTTGATGGTATACAATTTTGTAGTTTTGATATGCTTAATGTATGTCTCTTTTGGATCCTAGAATTCAGTGAGGAGAATGGGAAGATGGATTGACTTCAAAAACGATTACAAGACTCTCTACCCCTGGTTTATGGAGACTGTTTGGTGCGAAAGTCAGATTTTCCTTCTTCCAAGTACAAGATTTGACTTACAGATGTGCAATTTTACATTACAGTAAATAACAATTAGGTTCCATTTAATACAGTTGAAGCACAAAATAATTTTCGTCAGCAATCTCTATTGATTCCACTGAGTCATTTCTTCAACTTGATTATCATCCTCAGGGAGATTGTTGCAGTACACAGATGTCAATGAAAAACCACAATCTACTTAGTGTAGAACACTAAAAGCAATATATAATGAAAAATGTAATAGAAACCAGACTTACCCTGTCTGGAGTCCACTGTGCGCAGTCTGACTCTGCTTCCTTCTTTTAAGGTTCCATGTTTCTTCTCTGCCTTTAGGTGGGTGTTCAGACAGCTGTATGACAAAGGTCTGGTATACCGAGGTGTCAAAGTCATGCCGTTCTCCACTGCCTGCAACACTCCGCTCTCCAACTTCGAGTCCCACCAGAACTACAAGGTTAGCTCGTGTCAAACACACAGCATGTTCTGTTTAGCTGTGAGTAAGAAACTGACTTAATCTTGGTTTAATATTTGTCTCTAGGATGTTCAAGACCCATCTGTGATCGTCAGCTTCCCATTGGTTGAGAATGAAGACGTGGCTTTGATCGCCTGGACGACCACCCCCTGGACACTACCAAGCAACCTGGCCCTGTGTGTTAACCCCGAGTTCCTGTACGTCAAGGTCAAAGGTGAGAGACGAAGCTTGAAACAAGGCTACACCACAGACTAGATACCAACTGTATTACCTGTCTTTTGTGGTTTCCCTAGGTTTACAAACAGCATTCAAAGTTACTGTAACAAGTCTGTATTTTTTAGTTTCTTTCCCTTTTGAGAGAACAGCCCCTTCTGCCATCAATTTACTAGTATCTTAAGATGCTAGATGCACTACCCATCACCTTCTTCTACCTAGGGTATACAAACAACTAAATGCTCTGCAGAAAGAGAGATACCTTTTCTGATTGTAGTCCAACATCTTCAGTTTAATTTTAGGCTTAGTAATGTCTCTAGCCAGGGGCTAGCAGACCAGCCAATAAATAACCAATAATAACATTTAAATAAAGTAATAGACTCTAGTGTCCATCAATCTGACACTCATAGGTAATGTATGCTTATTGTTTGTGTGTTGTCACTTGTCTAGTGTGAACATCGATGCATCCCCATACTTGAAACCAACCAACATTTGGTGTGTGTTTCAGAATAAGGGTAACGCCCAGTTTCTTGAAAATCTGGGTTTTGTCCCCCAGCTGATAAAACAATCACCAATGTGCTGACAAGAATTGATTCCTCTCTGCAGAGCTTGTTGGTCTAAGATGTTTTGTATGAACAGAAGTTGTTCTTCAGTGTTTAGCTTACTTTCATCTTCATGTCAAGAAGACACCATTCTTTTTTGCTGTCCTTGTAGGGGTAAAGGGAAATATCTGCTCTGGCACCCTGTCCTCAAACATGTTTGTGTTGTGGATCACTTGAATAACTGGGTTGGTTGTTTTGTGGGACAGTGTTGTTAAAACGCTGTAGCCTAGAGCCAAAGTTTCCTGTTGAAAATCTTGTTTCCCTTGTGGGTTTAATGTTGTGGTCCACAGTATCAGCTTATGGGTGTTTTTATTCCGAAAGAACAAACAAGAACAAATTAACCGAGGAGAAGGAGGACTGCTGCCTTTGCAATTTGCACCCAGAGGAAGGGATTTCTGTACCGTAATGTGTTGGTGCACTATCCAGCCTGTGGCTATGTGTTGTCTGATGAAATAAGAAGAGGGACTCACTGTGGCTGCAAGTTTTGGTTTTATCTACAACAAACCAGATACTTGATTTTAATGAGCAGTGAGTGGATGCTCAGGCATAACTGATGTTTGTGTGTCATTATAAACATCGTCACCCTTAAGATTTAACACAATACAAATAAGACATGCGTGCATCACTATTGATAATAACAAGGTTATAAATGCATGTTCCACCATGTCATTTTGAAAGTGATGATGACATAAAAACTGCATGATCTATAAGAAATACATATAAAAGTGTGATGTTGGATCCAGATTGAACCTAAAACCTGCCATCTCTCTTAGATGCACAGTATGTAAAATTCGCCACCAGGGAACTCTCAATAAAACAATAACAAAAGATGAGGCTGGCTGGGAATCATGGGAGTGATTCTCTCTGCTAATACGATGGTGTATTAGAATACACCGGTGAAAAAATATATGTAACAGGTTTATGCAATTTTTCATGAATTTAGATATTTGAAGGTTAACATTGTCATACACTACAGTAAAGACATGGCGCTTCCTCTAATAAAAATAATATTACAGCAGTGAATGTATTTGTATGTAGATTATATGTATAAAAACACAGTTATATTCCAGTGTATTTGATTCACCTACTGTAGCTACAATTATTACAGTCTCAAATTATTCCTGCAATAAAGCGTGGTGTTAGCGATGTTCAATTCTTTAGAATAATATCAAAACCAAATTTGTCTGAATTCTGAATCTCTGTGGCAGAAGATTGTGCTTTTATTGCAATAGCTTCTGATATTAAGTACTGCAGAAGTGCCCTGAAATACTAATCTCGCCATATTCTAATTTTTCTTGTTAGAATAAAACACTTTACACTCATTATCATATCTCTATTGTAATATCTGTCACAATAATCACAATAAGATTATTTGCAAGTGATGCAGCCCTAAAACATTTAACTAAAACATTTAATGATATTGTCACTGTTGTATTTGAATGTCTTAATCAGCCATTTATTTACGCCAACATGCCTAACACCATCCCTAATCTTTTCCTGCTGTAACATGTCACAATGTCTTCCCTTGGAGGAAAAAAAAGAGGTCATCCTATTTTAAATATGTGGGATATTCAGACCTGAGATATGTTCCTGAACATAAAATCAGGTCACTTTAAAAAGCGATGTCCTTGTTGTAATACAAAAAAAAGAAAACCCTCCAGAGAGGTGGCTAGTGTTTTTGTGTTACCTTCCTGCTGTAGGTTTTTGGTTTCCTGTGATGAGAGAACCTGGTGGGTTTTTAAAAGGGTGACCTAGATTCATAACACTCCGTCATAGCCTCTTTGATCCTACAGGGGGCACTGTTGAAGCACAGTCTGCTATCCTGACTGCACAGCCTATGCTGTGCTGCATGGGAGACCGCCTCAGAATACCAATGACTATTTTTCTTTTTTTTTTTTTCAATGTATCAGCTCACTCTCTCTTTTTATCTTCTGTCCTCTTTCGCTCCATTCTTTTTCCAACTCTGCTTCTCATTTTCATATCGTTCTCTTTACCTCCACACCCACCTGTTTTTTGTCCTTCCTTATTTTCCCTCTGTCTGTCTCTTTTTGTGTCGGTCTTCATTCCCTCGCTGCCTCTGTTTGAGTCGAAAGCTGTCAGCAGCAGCAGGTCTGAGCTGTGCAGTCATTTGTCACACCACTGAGGGGAAGACAGAAACATCTTTTATTGATGCACCCTCCTCCTCTCTCTCTCTCTCTCTCTCTCTCTCTCTCTCTCTCTCTTTTGTGTCTCACTGTCACAGGCCATTTGGTTTTTGCCCTCCTCACAACTGTTGTCCCTGCTGCTCTCTTATCTTTCCTCTATTCCCCCTTCGGCCAGTTTTCTAGGAGGGCTCAGTTTCCCAGAAATGTCAAGCAGTTATCCTGCATGAGGTGGCAACTTTTCAGTAAGCTCTGCTGCTGGTGAAATGGCTGTACCCACATGAAGAAATCTTTACCTGACCTTGACTTTATGGCTCAGTGTATTTATATGAAACAGGACTTGACATTGAGGTTAAGCAGACTTGCTTCAAGGCTATTAGACGCCTGGGGTTTCACCAGGCATGATGAGGTGCTGTTTATCATAAATGATATACAGTCAATAAACATAAATCACTCTGCAGGGGCTGGTTGAATTGTAGAAAAACTCATTTTACACCCTATTGATCAGTATCTTTATTCCCACTGTACTGTTGTTTTTGTATCTGGAACCGTAAAGAAAAGAAAAACAGAAGAAATACAAACACTTTGATTTTTATAATTCCGTCTTGGGGGCACCCTTTATTTGTCTGCAGGCCCTTGTTTCTAATGTATTTGGTCTTAAATGGGATGCCTTCTTGTTCAAATCAATACTCTACAAAACAAGATTGTGTATAAGGAGCTTTAGGTTAATGATATGTCTACTTTTCTTGGATAAAAAATGCCTTGCAGCAGAGTGTTAAATTGTTACTAATGAAAGCATTTTTCTGTCCTCTGTTCATCTCTCAGATAATGCAACAGGTAAAACCTACATCATGATGGAGGCCAGGCTGGGAGCTCTGTTTAAGTCAGAGAGCGAGTACACACTCCTGGACAAGTAAGTACGCAAGAGGCTACGATGTGTACGACTTGGATGATGCTACACATGTTAACAAAAACCTGTTGAAAGTTTGTATTTGTAAATTGTTCTTGGGAGGCTGTTTTTATCAGTTTTCAATGGATGCATTCACATAACAGAGCCTAAACTCATGGTTCAGTCATTTGAGATTGCAGTCGATTATTTAACCCTGTTTCTCACAAGAATTTACACTTGATGTTAAGCTTATACAAAGGTAGCAGAAAAGTATGATTTGAGTATGAAGTGTTTTTTGGGGGGTTTAAATTTCAGAAGGAAAAATATAGTTTTGGGCTTAATGTATTCATTAAACACCCTTCCCATCCCTCCGCCTGATCGGAAATATCAAGATAATGAGAATAACTGAGATTTTTTTTGGTAACCTGAGATCTCAAGTTCTTTTTAAATGTATAATATGTAGAATTTTATTAGAATGTTTACATTAAAATATCTAAATTAATTTAAAAAATAAATAAATTGACATACTGTGCGTTTTAAAACACCCTTCAAATCATCTATAGTCCGCTCAATGACATTGTTGACAAATGCTGCTTTTTGTAGTCCATATCATAGCGTTGTTATTGACCTTAGTTATGGATTAGAGGCTTCATTTATAACCTTTTAAACTGGCATTAAAGGAAGGTGTGTTGGAAAATGTTTGAACTGATAGAAGCCCTAATTGAATTGAATTTGAATCTTGACTGACTCAGCTGCCATCACAAACTTAAACTTTAAGAAGTGAGATCTTGAAGTTGTTTAAATTGAGTAAAGCCTGCATTTGTAAGTATGCGTATCTGATTTGTTTAGTTTCTAAAAGAAAAAAAGTAAGTAAAAAAAAAAATCATCTTCCCCTTACCTCGGCTCCTTGCTAATTTTATGTATATAACTGTTGAAATGATTATTGACTCTCTCTGTGTTCAGGGATGATGTAAAGGGCTTTCCCTGAGTGTTTCCTAAATAAATATACAAGATCAACACAATAACCGTTCCTATGGTTTAGCAGGAATATAAAAATATTGTGAGTCAATGCAGAACCTATTTCAAGGTGACAAAAAAGTAGTTTATAAAATAAAATCCTACTGCGACCCCTCGGGGACTCGTAGAAATTGGAAAGTAGGTGGGGGGAAGGAAATAGGATTTTAAAAGTGACCTATACAATTCCAGAAAGAAATGACTCCCCTGAAGCATCATTTTATACCGCCTCTTCAGTCAGTTTCCTGTTTTGAGAATGAAAAGAATTTACACATGTTTGTTTTCAGACATCGTGGAAGGTAAATGGTAGATATTGAATCGAGGGCTTTGTGTTGTGTTTTTAGATTTCCTGGTAAAACGCTGAAAGGGAAGAAATACAAGCCTCTGTTCCAGTACTTCTCCAAGGTTAGTAATATGTGTGTTCTTGTCCTCTCCGTTTCACAGTTGTATCTATTGTTTACATCAATATGAAGACAGACCCATGTCTCGCTTTAATTACCTGTCTGACCACGAATTGGCATCTTCGTTTACGGTCACTAAATCTGTCTCTTAATCTCTCTCTTGTACTGTCTGTGGCTCTGTTTCTACCGCTTCCCCCCCGACTTCACCCCCTTCATCTAATCTTGCTGTAGTGTGGGGAGGAAGGAGCGTTCCAGGTGGTGACAGATAACTACGTCAAGGAGGAGGAGGGTACAGGAGTGGTCCATCAGGCACCTTACTTTGGAGCTGTAAGTGTTGTCTTTTAGTCTTTTGCTGTTTTTTATTATTATTGCTGAATGAGTGTTGTAACCAGACTGACCTTGTAAAACAGTCTGGAGCTTACGCCTTACAACCATTATCAATCTAGTAGTATTTTCCTAAACACGATTTTGCTTCAGAAAAATGTAAATGATGCCAATTACATTTCTCAACATGCCCTGAAGGGTCTCGATTATTAACAATGAGGAAAACAATAACCATCAAATCCCTAACATCGCCAAAGCATAGAAAAGCTTTCATTTTTAAGGAAAGGTGTGTTTATTTTAAAGCACATTTACAACACAGAAGTATTCAATGTGCTGTGCATATGGCTTAAAAAAGCATTAACCCTCAAAACAACTAAAAACACCAGAATAAGAGAGTTCATAAAAAAATATGAGAGAGAAAAAAAGCCTTGATAATGTACCAGTACTATGATATTAGAAGTGGGGCCTTAGCACCTAACAACAAGTGTCTTAAAAGAAAGGGTTAAATTAATAGAAGTAATGACAAATACTGATGACAGTAAATCAGAATCTCGGGCATTAGACTGGTAATCAGGACTCTAAGACCATGAAACCTTTCTAATCAAGCCTCTCAACCCTAAAGACATGACATAACAGAGTGCACATTATACATCAAGCATTTCCTTAATTAACTTTTGCACAGGTTTGAGTTTTCTGTGGTGGCTGAGAACATGGAAGAAGGAAGACGGTTGTTTGGTTGTTTGTCTTGATCTATAAGCAGCCCATACTGTTGATCCGGCTCCCTTCTGTCACTTTGCCCCGCCAGCCTCTGCTGAGCTCACTACGCCCACCCTCCTCTTTTTTTTTTAATTAAAACATTCTTTACTTCTTTGGGTGGTTTGAAGTAAGAGGCGTTGAGAAGGCGTTGTACTTTTATAACGTCACTCTTGGTAAGGTTGATTGTGAAGTCCTGTAGACGCTCGTATGCCTCAGAGTGAAACAGGTCGCTTTCTCTGAGCGGACCTCGATTCTATAATATAACAAGTGCAGTGAGAACTGTTTATTTTGGCAACTATAGAGAAGCTTTGCCTTTTCTGATGCAACTCAATTCAATTATGTTTTTTTGTTTGCAAGTTCAGAAAAACATGATGAAAAAACAGGTGTTTTTTTTTTATGATCAAAGAAGTGAATTTATTATTCAACACTTGCTTATGTTTTGCCTTGTTGTGTTTAGTGCCTGTAGCCCTACGTGTACAGTATGGCTTCTTTGTACTACAGTTAACGCATGCAAACATGTTTTATTTGTCTCTTTCCAAATAGATATAATGCTGAATTTGATTGTAAACCAGATTTGTTCTTGACTATAAATGACAGCAGTAGGATTTATTTATATCATGAATAATTTTCATAGTTCAAAACTCGAGCTGAGGGCCAACGCATTACCAACATTGTTTAGGACTCACTTTAGGGACAGTACCTTCTATCATATTTCTTTGGGATTATATTTTGAATAAATGTTGAATACTTTTTTGAAACATCCAACATTTGGAATCCTTTCAACCTGTCATGGGTTTTTTTTTTGTCTGATCAATGCTAATAGAAGATAATTTATGAAGTATCTGTATATTTAGCTGCAGTATCAATATACATACATACAGTTATAAGGCCAGTGTGGCTGTGCTATCAGAGGTATTGGGTCATTGCTAATAGGTTGGATGCCCTTGTCAAGGCCAGATGGATACCCCTGTGACTGGCTGTAGCCAGCTGTGGATACACTCTGTCTTCTTATTTTTCTCCTCATCTCTCTAAGTCCCAACAGGGCCCTTAAGTAAACCTTCCTCATCAATATCTCACCTACGTTTCAACACTGTTATGTAGTGATCACAATCACGTCAGTCAGTTGGTGAACAATCTGAAACACAAACACATTTGCTCAGAAGATTTACAGTGAGAAGAAATGTGTCGCAGACCCACATTTTTCAAATTTTATGTTGTTATGACAAGATGTGAAATGACCCTGTGAGTCATCCATCTTGGATCGTGACAGGGTGTTTGAATACAAAATACATTTACAGCTGGACAGCAACTCAGATCTTTCATGCATGGCTGCCACATACCAGCAGGGCTTGTTTCAACACTGTTTAAAGTATTCAGCACAACAAGGATTTTAATATGGAGTCATAGCATATCTTTAAACTGGTGACACTGGCTGCTGAAATAGGTTAGATAATGAATCATTTTATATACATTGTCCTCACTGTAAAGATTAATGTGTTCCTGTATCAAGGTAGAATCAAAAGAAGGTTACTTAGTGCGTGAGAAAAATACATCACTCTGGAGTAATAGGCTGTGACATGCATGGCTTTTAATTATGAGATCTGATACCAACAATTATCAGTCTTGATAAGTCAATTTTTTGATTAATCCATTAATTATCAAAAGGTCCCACACTCAGCCCAGTCAATGCAGGTTTTTTAAGTTTGCAGTGAGTTGCTATATGGTACAATACTAATTTTATATTAGTAATCCTTTCACCCAGTTAACCCTTTGAACTGTTTGTTATTCTCTCTGTAGGATGATTACAGGGTGTGCACTGAATTCAAGATCATCCAGAGGGACCAGGCTCCTATCTGCCCCGTGGACGCCTCGGGCTGCTTCACTTCAGAGGTCACTGACTTTGCGGGACAGTATGTCAAAGTGAGTGACACATCAGACATTTACATGTAGATTAGGTAAGCACACATTTCAGGCTTTCTAGCCCTGGTTAAAGCAACTGTCATCATGATACATGGGTTATGTTCCTCAGCGTTATTCGTAATGTGGTTTCAGCTTTTGATTTAATTTCCTTCATTCTTGGCACCAACTCTACTATCACTCCTCTATTTCCTCACTGTGTATCTTTCTGTAAAGATTTGTTTTCCTCATTCGTTCAGAGCATTTATGCTTAAATGTTACCTTTCCTCAACATCATTTTTATTAATACTCTTTTTTTTTTTTTTTTAGTTATGCTATTTGGTAACATAAATGAGAATATTTAAAAATAAATGTATTGGAAATGCCTAAAGATGTAGCCTAGAACACAGGAATAAGTAAAGTCAAGTACGCCAGTAATGCTACACTATCCACTGATCTGAGAGCACATCAGGAGGAGTCTCTGACCAAGCGACAGCTAACGATTGCTAAGTTTCTTACTATGCACTCTGCTTGCTTTTGGTTTCAGATTCCTCTATTCTTTAATCTTCACAAGGTTTTAAATGTGCGCCCTCCTCTTGTAGTGTACAGACTCAATTATTAAAACAAAACAAAACATCAACTTAATAAAATAAGATAGATGAATAGCATGATGAGAAAAATCTATGTTTTTCCAATACTTTTTGAAGGACTCAAGTAAGAGCGATAGGTGGAAAAAACCTGCCCTCCATACTTAATGATTGTTTCCTGGATTTTGTAACGATCTTTACAGTTTTGAATGACATTTAAGCTTTTTGAAAATTCGATGGCATTAATTTAGTAAACCTGAATGACACAGTATGGCTGTCAGGTACAGACCCTGTATTGATATATGATGTGATTGCTGTTATTGTTTTTGGCACTCATTGCTATTGGATCAATCTGTAAATGGGCAGCCTTTCAAATTCAGTTATCAAAATCGGTAGCAGGAAATACGAACCTCTCTAATTTGAAATGAACTTCTATGGATAACTTAATTGATGATAAGGAGTTAAGGGAATCAGCGCCATAACATTTTCACAAAGTTGTGGAGCCGGAACTCAAAGTCAATGTTTATCAGTGCACTGGGTACCCTTTTCCTCCCTGTCACACCAAACTTCATTATCATCTTCAGTGGGTAGTGAGTGAAAAATAACAGTCATACTTGATCTGATCACTATTTCACATCCTGGCGCAAAAGCCAGGGAGTGGACTTGACCCGCCTGATCAGTAACAGTACAGCGTTAGCTAATAAAGAGCATGCAGCACCAGTTCACCGAAGGCCTGTCATAATCCTTTTTTGAAATATGTTAAAACCAGGCGTGAATTTCAAGGCTGTCTGAGACATTCTTTATTGTCGCATAAAAACTCAGATGTGATCTGAGGATGCGACAGTCGCCACTCGAGCTCCTACAAAACAAGTCGAACGGCTGCAACAGCTGCTTCTTTGTAAAGGAAAAGACCAACCCAGAGTTTTAAGCAATATGAGAGCATCGTCTTACACCCAGAAGAGCCTGCAGGTTAGTGGCTCAAACAGCAGGGTGAGGGTCCAGAGCCCGTCTCCTTCCCGTTGCCGTGGATCATCTTATGACAGCCGTGGCCGCTCTGGTTTTAAAGGCACTGCCGTCGAGTTGGGAACAGAGATCCACCAGCAACATGCCAACGAGAAAGAGGAAATGCAGGAGCTCAATGTCAAGTTCGCTGGATACATCGAGAAGGTCCAGGCACTGGAGCAGAGAAATGCTGCCCTTCAAGCTGAGCTGACTGCACTGCAGGGCCGCTACAAGGGAGGCCCCACAGGCATCGGAGAGGAATACGAGCTCAGGTTCAAAGAGGTGCGGGAGCTGATTGAGTCGCTGACTAATGAGAAAGGAGCAGCTGATATTGAGCGGGGCTACATCGAAGAAGAGGTCGAAGTGTGGAAACTAAAGCTGGAGGAAGAGCTGACTCTCAAAGAAGAGGCAGAGATGATCCTGAGGGAGTTTCGCCAGGATGTCGACAACGCTACACTGCAGAAGGCTGAGCTGGAGAAGCGTATAGAGCAACTGGTGGCCGAGATAGAGTTCCTCAAGAAGCTGCACGATGAAGAGGTGGCTGACATCATGAAGCAGATCGAGGACTCAAAGATTACTGCAGAGCTGGATGGTGATCGGCCCGACCTGGCTGCTTACTTGCGCAACATGCGTGCAGAGATCGAGGCTGTTGCTGCCCGCAACGTCCAGGAAGCAGAGAAGTGGTACAAAAGCAAGTTTGACACCCTCAAAGAGCACGCCGGCAAACATGAGGAGCATATGAAGACCATGAAAGACGAGATCTCGACCTTCCACAACCAAGTGACGGACCTGCAGAACCAGATCGACGGGCTGAGGGCTCGTAACGCTGCTCTGGAGCAGCAGCTGGAGGACATGGAGATGTCCCACATGGATAAGGTGGAGACACTCGAGGGTGTCATCGCTCAGCTGGAGGCCCAGCTCTGCGAAACCAAGCTGGAGATGACCAAGTATCTACAAGACTACCAGGAACTGCTGCACATTAAGCTCAAGCTGGATGCAGAGATCGCCACCTACAGGAAGCTGCTGGAAGGGGAGGAGGTGAGGCTGGGAATCGCCAAAGATGCCTGATGCCTGGATGAAGAGTCAACAAGGTCAATGGAGAAGACGAGCAGAGCATCAGGGAGAGGAGTGATCAGCTAATTCTACTTAAGAAGACTCAAAATTCTTCCCCATCTTTCTAATTCTTTCCCTAATTGACCCTCTTTCCTCTAACGGCTGTGTATTGTTTGAAATGTTTTGATTAAGTACCTGATTTTACATATACATTACAGCACAGAGATAAGAACACAAACAAGACTTGAAATGAAATCAAACCAGTCTTTAGAGTATTTGACCAAAGTACTCTTTGACAAACATTTATTGCCACCTTTTATGTAATTGACAGTCTTGGATACTTGGTGCTATAGACGTATTTTTCCTGGTACTGAAAAAGTATCGAGGTTTGATGCCCAGCCCTACTACCCTGTTACTTACCTCACCTGACCCCATTACCCTTATGTCTTTGCTGTCAATGCTTGATGCTTCCCAATTCTTCTTAGTTCAAATTTTACATCATTTCAAGATGACCTTCTTGCTGCTTCCTTCCTTTCCTAGCCAGCTGCACCCTGTCACTGTCATTCATCTTCAGTACACTTCCTATCGGGTTCTATCACAGCCCTCGGGTCTCCTCTGTAATTCACCTCCCCTTTCACGCCGGGCCAAACCAAGCCCTCTGCGACTGCTTCTTATTTATGATGACTTTCAAATCTCAATTCCTTTTACTAAACACACGTTTGTCCTTTAAACAACACAAATAAACGCAGATAAATATCAGTATTGCGACTGGTCTACTGTTCCACTTGATTATTACAAATGTTTAGAAGAAAGATGACTATCACCTATTACACTAATGTTGACCGACTGTAACTTAATAAAGATTGAAGTGAGTGCATCCAAAATAATACATTGATTGTTTTTCTTTCACATGGGAGTTTCCTGTTTTGCTCATTTTCTCTCTCAGCTCCCTGTTCATCTCTTTACCTTCCTATGAACTCATTTTAACTCACACAATCTGCTGAAAAGCATTTCTTTCTGAGTTTGGTCCAGGAAATTACAATTATTTGACTACTTTACATGTTGCTTTATCCTGAGAAGAAATCCTGAATGTGCCGCTAAGGGGTAGAATGAATGATTGAATGAAACCTTTATTGCCCCTAGGGGAATTTGCCTTGCACTGAGAGCCTAAAAGCCCAATACAAACAAATACAGGACAGCACATATAAACAAAGCCATAAAACAAATTTAAAAAAAATCCAGCCTTGTTTTCCATAACCCCATGCTGGATAATTATGATCCTCTGTAACAAAGATATTCCGAAACGAGTCACAAATATATGTTAGTAATGTACAAACATGTCAAGTTAACCTTGTTTTTACTCGATTGGCCAGGTGGTAAAATGGGTTTACTCTCGCTTAATGGGTTAGAGGAGGAGATTCAAAACGTCTCCACATCACAGGTGTTCTTCTCATGTTTTTAATGAGCCCGGGTCAGTGCATAACAACATTGACTGGGAGCTGAGAACGATTAAAACCCCTCTCTCTACAAAGGGGTCACGACCAACAGTGTGCCACTTTGCACCTTACTGAAAATTCACATTTATTAGCGTCATTTGAATTTCACCTCAGAGTAAGGTTTAGAGTGAAATGAAATAATGTGATGAGACGCAAGGCTGACAGTGAGCTGAATATTCAAACAGACTATTTCTCCATAATGACATTCATCATTACTGTGAGAGCTGATCGTGACCTTGGCTGTGGATTGGTTTTTGTTTTTCTGAAAAGAAGGCATAAAGTGACTGAATGTGTTCAATGATCCAGAGTTTTCCTACTAGATAGAAAAAGCACATGCATAAGTATTATTAAAAATAAAAAATACCTATTGATAAAGGGCTTTTGTTTAGGGCCGATATCGATATTAAGGAGAGAAAAAATGCGGTAATGATATATTGGCCGATAGCTTTCTTAAATCTATTTGGATCTTTAGAAATAGATAAATATAGATATACACATTTATTGTATTAATCCCTCAAATGCATTAATCTAACACTTGTAGAAGATATATAATTCAGAAAAGATGGGTACTCAACTGGAGAGTAACTGTGCATGTACGTGCTTCATGGCCTGGCACTCTGAAATGTGATAATGCTTTTTGTAATCCATTCAGCACACTCTGCTGGTGACAGAGAACTGCTAAGTCTAAAATAATAATACACTTTCTGACTGGTGAATAAATGTAGAAATATTGGCGCATATCTGCGATAAAGTAGCCGATACCAATAGCTGCTTAATATGCTAATATTGGCCTATATTATCAACTACCCGATTTATCGGTCGGTCTCTACTATTGTTTTGTTTTCCTGCGGTAGCCATCGCTGAATAAACAGTCAACAACGCATATTTCGATTAACCACGTAGAAGTTTTAATTTAACATACAAAAACATTTAATGCAAAAAAAAAAGCCAAATGCTGGATTAATGTGATTTTACAATATGTAATATGTACTAAATATAAATGTAGACAATAAGCTGATGTCATAAATATCCATACATACAATAGTTTTAAAAACATATTAATAAGAAGAACTGTGGTTGTGCTTTGAATATCTTGTTAGAGTTGTACATAAGTATTTAAAGGACACATTTTATAGTGTAGGGGGAATATTTTGGAGTGTTTTTAATTAAACAATGTTAAATTGAATTCATATCTATGATGCACAATGTGTTGTGATGTCATCTAGAAGAAACTCTTCCACTGTTATGCCACATTTATTGCAGAATGTTAATTCATATGAGGCATGCAGATCTGTAACATGATGTTGCAGATATGCATTAATACATACAGGTATTAGTTATATGTGGAAAACATCCAAGGCACTGGAGTAAAGTAAACCTACATGATGAAAAAGTGATCAGTACAGGCTACAGTACACAGAGACGCTAGTGAAAACTATCTTTATTCAGAGAAAAGTTATGAGAAACATATTGTGTGTTTAAAAAAAGCCTCTGTTCATGTGGCAGATATGACAAAAATTAAAGAATCTTGGTTTGCAAATTTGCTTTGAAAATGACGGTAACATCAGCATTTTAAATATCATTTCATTAAAGTGTATGTCCTTAATTTATTTTGAAAGGAATTAATGAATGTGAAATTCTAAGAGTCTTATAAAAACTTGAAACAAGTCTTTGCGAATAAGACAGTTTAATGTCTAATAAACAACTTCTTCAAGCCGGATTTGTGAATTCTGTCTGTTCTTTTTTGTTTTCTATTAGGATGCTGACAAGAATATCATCAAGTGGCTGAAGGAGAAGGGTCGACTCGTCAATGCCAGCAGCTTTAAACATAGTTACCCCTTCTGCTGGAGGTGAGCAATGTCAAAATCCAAAGGTTTTACTTTTTGTCTTTCACTTTGGAATTTCAGGGATTTGTCCACAACTGAGATTTTTGTAGTGGCAGCACCCAAGACCTAAATTTCACAGCGCTTCTCAACGGTGATTAATATTGATAGAAAGTTGTCTCACTGCACTAAAATTAGCATTTTTTCAAGAAAATATTGAAACTAAATATAAAAATTACAGAAAGGCATGGTGTTCTGGCATTCGCAGCTGCACTCAACTTGGAAATTGTACCCTCGGAAAAAAAAGACTATGTTCATGAGATAAACTTCTCCTATGTCTTCATTGTTGGTAAAGTTGGTATTGGAAATCCCGCCTGTTGTTGATTTTTATTGGTCAATGATGGGGAAGTGACATTGATGTGTTCCATGAAGTTAAACTATTTTTAATTGAGAGCGCTGACACTGCAGCGAGACAAAACAGCTGATGCCGAGGGTTTTTTGTGCCTAGGATGCAAAGAGCTGAAGACGCTAAACTACATTGGAATTTTATAGAAAACAGGTGCTGCCAGTTAAAAAATCACCTTGGTCATACACCCTAAAACACCAGATATAGAATAACCCAACCTGCAAAAACAACCTGATAAAGTATTATAGAAGCTAAGCCTGGAGATATTATAGAATCTGTTTTACTCATTCAAAATACATTTATACAAGTAGATGAAATATTGTGCTTTTAATTAAATGCTCTGTACAGTACAGTGTTTTAAAGCAGAGTTGGGATGTCCCTCTGTGCTCATTCCTCCCTCAGGAGTATCATCGCAAGAAATCAATCATTTTTGTTGTCTCTGAACTGAATCAATTCACAAGGCCACTGTCAGGGTTACGACATAACTTCCCAAGGTCCCACGTTATCACATTGCATCCAACAGGCACACGAAAAGCCACACACATCAACTTAGTTTATAATTCACTGTCCTTATTTGAGCAGCTGCAAGATGAATTAACCCAATAATAATGCAGAGATGTGCTCTGTGTTAAGAGAACACAAGTTGGTAGATATAAAACTGTTCTCTTGTAACCACAAATAGGTGATGGAATCAACAGCCATGCTAATAGCTAAGGAGGTTGCTTTTACTCACAGAATGACTTTGATCTAAATATAAATGTTAACATGTCCACAATGACATAAAAGGTACATGTTGATACCATGTTCAACAAATTTGTTTAGCATATTAGCATGCTATAGCTAATCCCCAGGGCATTGGCTAATACTAATTGATAACCAAACATCTAAACCGTGCCTTTCCTACCTTGTGACTAGCATTGCTAAAGAACTCAAACATGATAATTTAATTCATTAAATGGGATTGCTGTGATGTGTTGTGTTTTTTTATGCAGTCTGTTTGTTTTTTATTCTCTGCGCACCTGAAGGATGGAGTCCAAAAAACAAATTTTCTTATGACATTAAAGTATACCTTATTTTATTAAAGGGGATCAGCCACATGATAATTATAACAAACTACACAATATGTAAACAGAACAGTCAGCAATTATAAGCCCCAATTCTAAAAATCCTTTATTATTTAAGTGTTATTTTTATTGGGACAAGTTTGGAGTGAGTAATCTGATGCCACACATCACTTATAGCACATTTATAGCCTAAGCTAACTTGCTATGTCTGTCACAAAGATGGGCTTTTAAAATAATTAGCTTGACAAATTAGAACTTGATGCCATCATAAAATTCAATTTTGATATATTCTTGAACACTACTTTTCTTACTCTATTATAATATCTCAGTATGTAACATCCTGATGCTTAATGTTGTGTCTTAATGCACTTCTAGGTCTGACACACCCCTGATCTACAAAGCTGTCCCGAGCTGGTTTGTCCGAGTGGAGCACATGGTGCAGAAACTGCTGGACAACAATGACAAATGTTACTGGTAAGCTCTTATCTGAAACTTGTGTTAATTAGCTTGGTGCTAAGTGACATTGAATTAACCACTTTGACTTTCTTGTCGGACAGGAAGCCCAAAATACCTTCTAGCGGTCCCAAAAAAATTAAAACCACTATTCTGCACAACCACATCAAGTCGTTTGTCACAGCTATTGGCCCTGTCCCTGCAGGATAGCCATGTATCAGCTGGCATGTAAAAAGATACTGGATTAAAAATGCAAGTTGCAAACATTTATTAATTCCTCATTAAATGGGGTCAAAACCATCATCAAAGCATTTTATCACGATGCACATTAGCATGATGCTAATTGTACTGGCAGAACGTGGATAAAATGTAAGCATCAGCATGATGGCTTTGCGAAGTGGTATTACCCCTGGTGCTCCCAGTGCTCTTTTCTGAGCCACAGTAGCTGCCTCTGGTAATGGGACTGTCAGACTGAGATGAATGACTAGCCGCTAGGAAGGTGAAGACGCACAGACACACGTGTTCAGAGAGACCTGCAGGAACACACACGCACACACTCTACTACTGTATTACTTATCTGAGGACTACTGTTACTGCATGTAATAAGGTATGGTAGTATAAATATGTTTGTTATTTTTTGTATTAAGCTTCCTTATAGTTTATCTGCATTTTTTTTGCTATTTAGGAACCCATTAGTTGGTCTATTAAATCGGAAATGTACTAAAAAGACAAACAAAGTGAATTGTTTCAGTTCTAGACCCGAATGAAAAGAGGTGGAAGCTTTTAGTAGTCGTGGTTGAACAGTTATTTTGACCCTTGTATGTATAAAAAAACTGATTCAGTAAATCTATCCTCTTTTTAATGATACTTTCAGCTGCTACACTTGAAGAAATTACATATACACCCACATTTCATCCCTGTGCTGAGCGCTGAGGGTGTTGATCTTATGCAGCTTTCTAATTAAGCTTATTCTCCAACCCTAATTATTTGATTTTTTTCTAAAAAGGAGATTTTTCTCTCTTTTTGATTAGACTCCACTTTCATACTCGAGTTCCAGTCTCTGGGAGATTGTCTTTCTGCCAGTGAGGGTTGCCAGCTCATCAGCAGCTTTAAAAAAAAACATAAATCCTTGCAGAGTTCTGTAACTCTATATAGAAGTTCATGTTAGTTGATGAGAGACTTAAGAGAATACTTCAGAAAGCAAAGTGCTAGTTACCATATTCTCAAAGTGATTTGTTCATTTTATCTCTCTTTACTCACAGGGTGCAGTGGTAGACTGAGGCTAAGTATCTATTGAGAGAGTTCAGACTGATTCCTCCAGATATATGTCTGCTTGAATAAATTAAGGAACAAAATTAATGAGCGTTCTCCAGGGGAGTGGGTCTTTTTTTAAGCTCAATGTGCAGGACGCTTGGCACTGGTGCATGAAGGTTCTTGGTCCTAAAAGAAAATGTGGAAATGATGGACTGGTCCTGAAAAGAGTTGGAGTTGGATGAGCCAAGAATCAGACACGCACTCCTTCGTTTGACTTTTTTCCCTATGTTTTTAGTTTTTCATGCCACTGCTCAGTAATTGAAGCTGTTGGTCTTTAGCTGCTTACAGATTGCAATTCCGTAACAGCACCATAACGAAGTTCAGCCGTCACTGAGCCCTTGCACTTAAAAGGGATACTTCACCCGTTGAAACATGAATCTGTATTGACATTGGGTCATATATGTAGTAGAATTGGGAAATACATTTTCGGTTCATATCAGCTTTCTCCATAGAGCCTGTTAGCATAGCTTCCAAGCAATATGGCGGACGTTAAGTTTTGTTTCTGGGCGTGAGGTCCCACCCACTGATCTGTGATTGGTTTGTAGCTTCAGCGGTCGAAAATATGAGGAACTAGCGTTCTAGTTTCACCCTGCTAAGTTTTTATCAATCAGCCACATGAACACTGCATCAATGCTTAGTTACTTTTCCTGCTCCATGATCAGTTATTCACTGTTTATCATGATGTGTTCAGTCAATGCCAGATTGCCTGGTTAGTTGTCCTTCAACACTGCTGCTCATTTTTCGTCCTCTATTTTTACCATCTTTCCCATCGCCTGTACCTTTTTTTTTTTCCCATTATGCACATGCTCAGTAGGTCCCCTTCCTGACCACAACCTCTGTTCCTCTGTTTCCCTCTTGCATCCATCCCCTGTGTCTCTGACTTTTAATAGAAAGCGTGTACATATTAAATGGCTCCACGGTGCGTCTCGAGCACAAGACAGCACACTTTAAAGTCTACATTTAGCAGGAAGCAGGATAGGGAGGGTGACTGTGGAGGAGTGTTTGTGGGGGGTTGGTGAGAAGCTTAAAAAAAAAAATCATTAAATTGATATATTAGGGGCCTAAATAGAAATGCCTTCTACAAATGGGAATTGATGAACTCGTTGCTAAGCGCGTGGATCCTGAAGACGATTTATACCCCCTCCCTACTCTGTTCTCCTGAGCAACACAGCCGGGCAAAGTAAGAGGGAAGGACAGGAAAAAATGAGAGGAAGTGATTGTGAGATAGGGGATTAGAGCTAGAAATGGGCAAACTAGAGAAGGAGGGTAGAAAAGAGATACTAGGGAGGAATGTGCCTTGAAGGGGATGTTAACCTTTTGCAGTTGAGCTATATAAAAGGAAAGGTGAACTTTGTTTTAAGGGCTTGATGAAAGTGGAAAAAAAGCCAGCTCCATAAATGAATTAATTTAATACACAATATGATAATGGGCGCTCTTGTTGTGGAAAAATGTATGCACATTAAATTAACATGGTATTTGCACTCCAGATTTTTAATCCTCAAGAAAAGGCCTTACAAGGTATTTAAAATATGAAATGTATGAAAGACTTATGGCTCCTGTAAGAAACTTTCATTTTGTGTTGCTGGTAGCCGTGTGGGCAGAGACACTCCTCTTATTTCTTAATTGATCTGCTCTTGTACATGTGGAAGTGATGTTTTCTAATAAAAATCTCAACTTGCCTTTTTTAACTGTCAAACAAATCACTCTGTGTGTATATCTCTGATGAAAAATGTAAACAAAAGCTGTTTCAGTAGCATGCTGTGAATCCACGGCAGTGAAGGACATTAAAAATCACTATAGAAAAATATTCCTGCTTGTCACCCATGGTGTGGTTTGCTTTTGTAGGTCATAGTGTGGCGTCATGGCTTATTTCAGTCTGTTTCATAACCAGGCAAAAAGTCCTCACAGAGTATTTTAATATATCCTCTCTTGCATGCCACAGGCGCTAGTTTGCATAATGTGACACTTAGAAACTAGGAGGGATTTTTTTAAAAGGTATTTCTTTAAACAGACTTTTAGCAAACATGATCACGTTTCCGTGCTAACAGTAGCATGAAAGCTTTGCAACTCCTAATGTGTCGATTTTTATACATTGATTTATACCACTTGTTTTATCATTGGAAGTGAAAGACTTACAACATGGTATTTATTGTTGCCCTTTTTTTGTTTCTTTTATTCTTTGTTTTGATTTAGCTACATGAGGCTTTTTGGTCTGCATGCATGTATTGAAGAGGCAGTATAAAAAAGGAAGAGTTAGGTTATAACGGGCAATTGTCTGTTTTAGGTCAAACTTAAATGTATAAATTAAAACTCTCGTTTATATATCATTTTTACGACGTGCTTTCAAGTCTAGGTTGCATTGATTTAATAAATATTCTAAGAAGGACTCTGCTGCAAAGAACTCAAAGTGGTAGTGGTAAAATATTGAATTAATGATTCCATAACCCCCTTCTAGTTTTAACAGTATTTTCATACTTTGGAATCTTTAAAAATCAGAATCAAAGACAGGTTTATTACTAAGTACGTTAACACACACAAGAAATGTGGGTGTTTCTTGAGGATTTTGTTACAGAAATAAAGAATACCATCCATCCATTATCTATACCACTTTTCCTGTTCGAGGTCGCAGGGGGCTGGACCTAATCCCAGCTGTAATCAGGCGAGAGGCGAGGTACACCCTGGACTGTTTGCCAGTCAATCACAGGGCTGACATACATGCATCATACAACCAGTCACACTCACATTCACACTTATGCTCAAATTCAGAGTCACCATTTGACCGAAGGAGCATGTCTTTGGACTGCAGGAGTGCCCAGAGAGAACCAACACATGCACAGGGAGAACATGCAATCTCCACACAGAGAGGCCCAATCCGACTGTTGTGAGGCACCAGCCCTAACTACTTCAACACCGTGCTGCCCAACAAAGAACATAAAACATAAAAACAAATATTACATTTACTTCCATGTGGTACTTAAAAAAATGTATTGGACAACTTAACATAACAAGGTGAACCCTGTTTAAAAAGAAATGAGATTTAAACAAGGGTATTACAGCAACATTCCTGTTCAATGTCTTTTAAAGCCACAGTAGACTTATCGGCTGAATCCATGTTTTTATAATATCATCTCTCTCTTTCCAGGGTGCCAGAGTTTGTGCGGGAGAAACGTTTCGGTAACTGGCTGAGAGACGCACGAGACTGGGCGATCTCGAGGAACCGTTACTGGGGCACACCGATCCCGCTCTGGGTCAGCGACGACTTCGAGGAGGTCAGCAAAACACGACACACAACAAATACTCTCTTGTTATGCTTTAATGGAGACGTTAATGCTTCGTATGTGTCTTTGTACTCTGCAGAGATTACACAATTTGTCTATGTCGTGACCAAATACCAAGACACTTACTCTTTTCTCAGCGCAGGCAGCCCTCACAAATCAATCTGGGCTGAGCATGAGAGGGCATAATTGAAAAGTTGAACTCTCCATAACTCTCACTTTTATTTACCATAGAAATGAGTTGAGGAAAAAGTGGCTTGTGTCTCTGCAAAGGAAGATTAGTGTGCTGCGAGGGTGCAGAATTTCAGCTCTTCTCATAAATTGGCAGGGTGAAGTTTCTTCTCGTTGACCTGTTTTTGACTCTCTCATAATTTAGCATATCTGGCCCTTCTTTTGTGTGTGTGGAGGCTTGTGTAGGACTTTCCTGGCATGGCAAAGTGATGTGACCATGGTGTCAAACGAGAGCATTGCATGACTCCTTAACTGTAGTGAAAGTCAGCCCCCCTCAGGCACCATTAACAAGTGCCTCTGTGAACTCTACACATGAATGATTCATTAATGTAAACAGCAAATAAACACAAATCCAAAATGTGTTTGGCTTCTCTTCATGCCAGTTAAGGCGACTTCAAAGGTCCTCAAGACAAACAGTTATCTGAGGGTAAAAAGGGAAGAAAGGCACAGAAAATAAGGATAAAGATGAGAAGGGACAGAATAAATTAGCTTGTGAGGAAACAGAGAATGACATCAGAAGGGGGTAAATATGAGGGATGAAAAATAAACGGAGTGAATGTTTGTGTGGCTGTTGATGTTCATTGCCAAACCCAGCAGGATATGTGAAGTAGACTGAGCTGAATAGAGATGTCAGAATTAGGTTGTTTAAGCGTTTGAAAAATGAAGCGTTGGCTGAAAGAGGGACAGCCAGCGACCTGCTTGCTGCAAATAGCGTTGTGACTGTTTCCAGAGCGCTCGCTCTCCCTGGTGCCTCCCTCACACACACCCCTCGGAGACAATTTCTACACACTCAAACCTAAAAGCAGCACGTGTGTGTGTGCTTGTATGTCTGTGGCAGTATCATTTCTATCTTTCTGCTTCTTTTCTTTTGCAGTTCTTTTATCTGTGCTAATGTTTTTGGTGGCTTTCTTTGACTTCCTCCTTCTTTTGTACGCGAGAGTGGTGTATCAGACTCTATCTGGGCCATGTTACCTGGTGCTGTGGTAAAACTAGAGCAGGGCCTACAGGTTAACTCTCCGCGGAGACCGTTAACATACTTTATCATACTTTGTAAGGTGGAAGTTATTCAGGAAGTGTGTTGAAGTGGGCCTAGTTTGAAGATGTGTGTATTGATAGAATAAGATGCAAAACGACAGGAAAATACACCTTAATGAGGAGGCCTGGTACTGATAGTACTTTGCAGGCTTTTGACACTTAAGTTCAAATTTAAGTAAGTACAACTGGCCTCAGTTTGTGTGGGTTTTGAGACAAAACCGTGTTTTGTTTGGACATCAGATACCACATGATGCAATAACATACAATGCACTTGATTTTCCCTTGACAAAATTTGTCTTGGACTCGAGAGTAATTTTAATATATTTAGTTTAAGATCAACTATTTATACAGCCTTTCATTTCAGCCTTAAACATTAACTTTTTGTGAGTTGACTTACTCTTGCTGTCTTGTGTGTTAATGTGTCTCTGTGTATTTGTCCCTTCAGGTTGTGTGTGTCGGCTCCATAGCTGAACTTGAGGAGCTGACCGGAGTCAAAGTAACTGATCTGCATCGGGAGAGGTGAGTCACTGAGCCAGCAGTAAGATTGTCAGCCAACAAACCTGAACATGAACTCAGCGGTGTGTGTCTGCTGTGATAATGTGTTACCCTGACATCCTCTGTGACCTGCTTGCCTGGACCACACTGATGTTGTTGAACGCACATCACTTCAATCTTCCGCTCTCCATCATATCATTAACTATAATCTTTTATATGATGTCGGCCATCTTTAATTGATGGGGGAGGAAGAAGTTGTCTCTGGCTCTGTTCCCATGTTTGGGTTGTACCTTTGTGGTTCCTTTTCTGTTTGGAAGATCATGAGAATCCCACGATGGATGGATGGAGAGATAGATGGAGAGATAGATGCTTTATTGATCCTGAGGGAGATTCTATTGAAAGTCTTCTATTTATATTGAAATTGTTTTAAACATGCGGTTTTAGCTCAGGGACTTTTATATTATGTGTTTTATATATTCCATGTTTGGGGACACACGTGATTAGATATTTCCTGGAAAACATGTTCTCATGTTGCTCTGCAAAACCTCTGCATTGCAAAATGACAGTAAGGTCAATTGGATTGAAAAGACCTGTTGCTGGAGATATAACACACTGTGTATAATAGCTTTAAGTTATCTGATTGACTGAAAAATCAGGGACATGAACTAAATTTGATTTCTCTAACAACTAAATGAACAAACTGTTATGAAGTCATATAATAAGGAGTGAAATGCATGGCTCCTAGAGATAATCACTTTTACTGCATAATGGAAAGGGAAACATTTAGCAAAATCATATGCATAGCACACTGCAACAATCACATATTAAAAAACAACTGAAAATGTGCTCACTTCTTTTCAGAAAAACTCCTCTCTCTTTCCTCAACAGACCCAGAAGTAGAGCTCTTAGGAGCAGCAGAGTGCTGCAGCAGAGCAGCTTTAGTGGCTGCGAACAGATTATTAAAGGTGTATTCTGTGTTTTATAGGCCTGAGTGCTAATAACTCTAAAAAGAAAATGTGAAGGAGGTTGCAGCTGGGAGAGAAACTACTGTAAATTTCCCTTAAACAACTTTATGTGGATTTATTACCTTCTGATGTTAGTTGTTTACATTTTCTGTCTTTTCTTTGGCCAGAATAGAACCTCGAGGATATATTAGAGATTTAGTGGGCACCACACACAGACTGGCAGTTTATAACTGCTACATAATGCAAGCTCATTTTCTTTCTCAGGTTTTGTTTTCCTCAGCTTGAGAAACTTAACTGGAAAAAAAAAACTCTAGGGCTGAATCTGTGTGGGTATACAGTATGTGGGTATATGAAGTAAATTCATCTTTATATCCTTGAAGCTTAAAGCAATAACCGACCTTATTCTAGCGGGTGTCAGCACAACATGAGCTCTGCTGTTCTTTTCTTAAACCTCATTCCCAGCGGTGAAATATTATAAAACCACTGTTTGGGATGGCTGCCCAAAAGCATATAGATGAACAGAAATCATCAAAACATTAATAAAAACAAAAATATAGCAGGAGTGGTTGAATTTGTTATTGCTGCCATCTGTCTCAACACTCCTTTCTTTCTTTTTGTCTACTTTTTCTCCACCCAGCATCGACAATCTGACCATCCCGTCACGGTGTGGTAAAGGCACCCTGCGTAGGATCACCGAGGTGTTCGACTGCTGGTTCGAGAGCGGCAGCATGCCTTACGCCCAAGTCCACTACCCCTTCGAAAAGAGGAAGGAGTTTGAGGACACATTCCCAGCAGACTTCATCGCTGAAGGCATTGACCAGACGAGAGGATGGTGAGCTATGAATGAATGAATGAATGATAGAGGGATGAAGGGAAATACCAGAGACCCTCCCTCTTGAGCTTGAATGAGAAGAGCAGAGCATGACTGGGCTGGCAGACAAAAATCAATGCTTTAAATCAGTGTGTTTGTAATTGTTTTTAAGGTATTGTTTATGTATGTTTGTATTTTTATCCTTTTCATCCTTTTATTGGAGAATTAATAATTTGGAATGTGTCAGTCCAACTTGGTACCATAGACTGTAAAAAAAAAAAAAAAAAAAAGAAGAAGATGAACGACATGACAGCTGTCTAAAAGTGAAGCCAAAACGTTTGCAGCTCCCCCTGCTGTCTGGCTGCAGTATAGGTCTTAATCTCCGCCTTCTTGATACAAGCAGATAGAACTCAGATCAAACTGTACAATTAAAATACAGATCAAATAATTATTTCTCAAACATGGTTTCTGTCATTCAAGTTTTGATTCATGCTTAAGTGTTTTTTAAATTCAGTTTTAGTTTCTTATTTAATGCTTTCAAAAGGGGTATAACACCCTGAATGACAGCTCTGTTGACAAATGTGGCTCCAAAATTCATTGAACTTTCCATAACTGTGAGTGTCAGCTTCAAAACAACACAAGAAAACTGTTCTACGGTGGACTGTACCCACCCGAGGGATCTTTGCTGTTATATCACATAGTTTAATGTGTGTTTTGGTTAGTGGAGGGGGTCCCTGGCAGTCTACTGTGCAAGGACTCTTACCTTAGATTCTGCCCTTCTGTGTCATGTTGTAGGTTCTACACCCTGCTCGTGCTTTCCACAGCTCTGTTCGGCAAACCACCCTTCAAGAACGTCATTGTTAACGGACTTGTACTGGCTAGGTAAGTCTTTCTTATCGGTCTTTAATTTCCAAATAGAACTGTCTTTCATTAAAAGCTAACAATGTTTCTCAAAATACTTTTGTATAGCTGCTGTATATTGGGCTTTGACTACACAGACAGTACCCAGCAGCAGGATCAATTTGGGGGATTTTTTTGACTGCAAGAAAAATAGGATATTGCAAATCTCATTCTGTCAGTCAATTTCAGATGTCTTCCTATTTTCTGTGGACATCATTTCCTTGTTTGACTCCATTTATCTACAGTTGGCCCCCCTCTTTCCTAACATTTTTATATTCTGTTTTGCTCCCTCTCTCACCAAGTCATGTCTTATTATTTGTTTCTAATGATCATTGTGCTATATGTGCTGTAACATTCAGCCCTCAGAGCTGCTCTACAATACAGTTACTTGTCCTCAGCCCCTGGGTCTTCATGCAGCACTGTGCTCACAGGCCTACTGACCTGGAAGGACTTGACTAATTTGAATACCAACGTGCATTGTTTCAAACATGCACTTTAGTTCAAGCATACATGTGTGTGTGTGCATTAATGCCTCTGGCTGTCTCACTCCTGCAGCGATGGACAGAAGATGAGCAAGCGCAAGAAGAACTACCCGGATCCAGGACTCGTAGTGCAGAACTATGGAGCTGATGCCCTCAGGTCAGCTCTGTGTTTGAATGTGAACCAGTTGTGTGATTGTGTGTGTGTTTCTGAAGCATGAATGCCTGTGTGCCGGTGGCTGGGATCTGTGCGGTAATCTACCTTATGTTATTAGCAGGAAGAAGGTTTAAAAGGTTTGAATCACTGTCCATGCTTAACTAGGCAGCTTCTTTGTCCTACATACAGTGTACACACAGTCACGCATACTGTACACACACATGCATTCACACGTTTTCTCCTCTTACATTCACTCCTTTGCCCTGAGCAGTGACAGCGCCATGGCCATATGGTCTAATGAATAAAGCACCATGCAGTTCCTCCATATGCTCACAATATAGACTGATGAAGAAAGAGCTGTGGAGATAAATAAAGAAAAGTGATGGCTTTTTTTCTCTTAAGGCCTTTATTTACAGTAGAACGCATCTATTTTGTGCTTTAAGACTTGACTTCCTCTGTTGCGGTTATTAAACACTGCGCTCCTTTACTTCTTCAACTCCCTTTACTTTTACACCGGGTGAAGTAACAGCCCTCTGACATCATGTTGGCTCATTTTAGGGTGCCAAAAACTATTTGACTAGCTGATGGATCTGTGTATTGTGCATTTTGTTAAAAAATTTATTTGAAGAGTTGCTCATATTAGAAACGCAGATGGCCTGTTGCATGACGTTGCATCATGTAGGCTTGCTTCTAAAATCATCATCAGAACCTTTTAAAAGCAGTCTGCACTGTGTTCTGGTGCCTGCCACAGGCTATAAAAGCATGGATTTGTCAGGTTTTCTGTCTGTCATGTCAACAGTGATTGCATTTGGATTTAATAATGAAAAAGAGATTTTGCGCTTAATTTAATTTGTACTGATAAGCTGTTGGTTTGAAAGGGTTTGTCCAAAAATGTTGCAAAACATAATGAAAGTGGACATGGAGCTGAATTGGAAAACCTTATCCAATCCAAACACATTTGACATCTACATCGCCTTTTATTAGGATACCCAGCTTTCCTTTAATTGTGTCAGATAAGTGTCCTGTAATCTCAAATATTAATTGACACTCATGGGGCTGCAGGCCCAGTTGTCTCTATCTTTAGCTTTAAAAAAAAACAAAGGAAATATTAAACTCTGAGCATGTTTGTTAAAGGAAGAATATGCAACTTTGTGATCCAGTAGATGTCGCCCTTGAGCACCAGCATGAAACCAAAACAACTTGGGCTGCATTGTGTTTAGCATGCTAATGCTAGCGCTCTTTATTTTACTCGTATCTTCACACTGCATGTAAATTTACACAAAATGACCGTGATCTAAAAACACTTACGTGACATTCAAATAAGCAGTGAGTGCAGTATGTTAGAGTCCCTCAATTAAACAACTTTTATACTCAAGAGGATGAGCCGGCCGGCCGTCCCTGTCCTGTAAACACGCTGTAGATACGGCTCGGAAAACATCACTGACATAGCCCCTAACCCTGTCATGACTCACACAGTTATTTTCAGAGGATATACGCTTAAATGTAGCAGAAATCTGCAACCACTTTTTGAAGGTCTCAGAATCAAAATAATTTTTTCTCGGTCTCAGACTGGGCCGACTCCGGATTTAAATCAAGACCACCACTGATAGTCCAGTTTTCCACGTCATCACTTTGATTCTAAGTAAAACAACCCTTTCTGAAAGAACAAATTACATGTATTTGTTCAAATTAGGATTTTTATCCCCCAGTTACGGCGGCAACCTTCTCTGTGTTTTGGTCTAAGTGAGTGACACACTCACTGCACACAAGATGATGTTTTTTTTTGTGATATTCATGGTCCTGCCTGGGTCTTGGTCTCGATCCCTAAATGTCTCGGTCTTGTTTTGGTCTCGGAGCATTCTGGTCTCGGGTAGGTCTCGGTTAGTGTGGTCTTGACTACAACACTAACGTCTTCTGTAGATATACAAAATCTTCCATTTTACTGTTAAATGAGAACACACAGAAAATTTTAATATTCGTTTTAAGCTGGAAAAATGATTTGATATTGAGAAACATGGAGCGTTACACATTTCTTTTCAGCTTAGCTTACATGTAGCCATCTTCATGAATTTGTTTTACTCAACTCTAAACAAGCCAACCGGGTGTTAAGTGTTCCCTCAACACTGTTGTTTTGGTTCCCTTTTACTTTCCTGTTTCCCGCATTTCAAGTTATTTTGGTGAATGTGTAACTGGAGCGTCCCCACTAAGTTCTGCAAAGTTTATCCTCAGTGCTGTTTTGTGTGATCTATCAGTCCTCAACAACACAACACATCTTTCATTTGACTTGGCCTACTTTCACATCTATGAACACATTTTCATTTATTTTTTTTTTTACCTGTGTACCCACTTTCAGCCTGTCATTATAATTTCTGCCATACTCACAAGCCTCCTTTCCCTCTGCGTAGACTGTACCTCATCAACTCTCCTGTGGTGAGAGCAGAGAACCTGCGTTTCAAAGAGGAGGGTGTTCGGGACGTGTTGAAGGATGTCTTCCTGCCGTGGTATAACGCCTACCGCTTTCTGGTGCAGAACGTACAAAGGTTACAGAAGGTACATGTGTAATGAAGAGAATAAAAGGTCATCACTGCACAATTCATACAATGGTCCTTTAGCTTTTCCAGTTCTACAAAACACAACATTGTAACTTCTTTTAACCAATCAAGTTTAATGAGAGTAAAAAAAGGAAATTAATCGTTTTTGATGCCATAGCAGCAGTTATACATCCCTCTAATGTCCCTATGTCACTGGTTTACTTATGGCTGGGGGATTGTGGTTTCATCTGGAATAAAATCAGAAGCTGAAAGCATTTTTATTTATTGTCTCTGCTCTGCTTGTGAAAAAAACCTATCAATTGTTTTAAAGAATGTTGTTCCCTTAGTGTCCTCAGCCTTGTTTTCTGACTTCTCTCTGTCATGCCGAGTCTATACATAGATATACCACCCTCGTCAACCCTTATTGTCTGGATTCACCTTTTCACTAACAGTATCAATCACATGTTTCACTCCACAACACACACCTTATTGAGTTCATAGCATTAACACACAAACACACACACACACACATCCACCACCTGCTGCCGCTATAATAACAGCAAACACTACAGATCTGACATAGACCAAGTGTCTACACGGCTGCAGAACTAGCTGTTCCTGCCTGTAGATGGCTCACAGCAGCATCAAACTCATCAAACTCTGTGTGTGTGTAATTGTATTTATTAATTAGGAGGATGACGTTCAGTTCCTGTACAATGAAAACACAGCAAAGCAGAGTGACAACATCATGGATAAATGGATCCAGTCCTTCACTCAGTCCCTCGTCCAGTTCTTCAAGACTGAGATGGACGGTGAGACACGCAGGCGCCACATTTTTCCCCTTTAAAACTCAGATTGATCTGGACAGAGGCTTAAAGACAACTGCTTCAAATTTTCAAATCCTCTTGATCTTGCCGTTTTTATACATAAACTGACTGTAGTTTTCTCTCGCAGCTTACCGTCTGTATACAGTGGTTCCTCGCCTGGTCAAGTTTGTGGACATGCTCACCAACTGGTACGTCAGGACCAACAGACGTCGTCTGAAGGTGAGATATCAATTCAGAATCTGTTTTTATTTAGAGTCAGCGATGACAGTTTATAGGTTTAAGTCCTGAAAGTTTCTTTTATAATGTAAATGAGTAACTGTTTAATGGAAACATTTCAGTGTCTTAATCATAGCTGGAATCAGTTTATGGACCTTCTAGTGAATGTTTGGTTGTCATGAGTTTGAGTATAAATGTTCTGATGTCTGCGAGGGCACTTTTATTTTTCTCTCTGTTGCAATGGGACTCACTGTATTGATGCATGTGTGAACTTTTCAGGGAGAGAGTGGCACTGAGGACTGCCTGTGGGCGCTGGAAACCCTCTTCAGTGTCCTGTTTTCCATGTGCAGGCTGATGGTGAGTCATACTCTTTCTCTCTCTCTCTGTGTGTGTGTGTGTGTGTGTGTGTGTGTGTGTGTGTGTGTGTGTGTGTGTGTGTGTGTGTGTGTGTGTGTGTGTGTGTGTGTGTGTGTGTGTGTGTGTGTGTGTGTGTGTGTGTGTGTGTGTGTGTGTGTGTGTGTGTGTGTGTGTGTGTGTGTGTGTGTGTGTGTGTGTGTGTGTGTGTGTGTGTGTGTGTTAGAGAGAAATTAGATTGTATGGGGAAAATTTCTTGTGGTGAGGTTTTGCTTTTGTATATGTAAGTAACAAAGAACTAATGCTGGTATACAGAATAGTTGTGTGTGTGTGTGTGCTCACATGGCTATGCATAATGCATAAGCAGTAGGAGTTTTTATTTATAACACATTGAAGATGTTTGCATGTGAGGCGAGATGCACGCTAAGAGCCAGTTATCCTAACCCAGATCAATACAGATCAGCTTTGGGCCATACAAATTAATTAGCCGTGGTTGAAATGGATGAGAATCGCATTAAAAGTAACCTCTCTCCAACATAATTCTGTTTGAACTTTTGCACTGTTTGAGTGGGAAAAGCTGTTGAGAAAAATGTGTTTTTATTCTGGTTTCATTGCTGCTTCTGACTTTTAGACCTTTTTTTGTCAGAAAATGTGAATCAACCACAGCAACAGAGTATCTTAATAATCTTCTACTCTTCCGTTTTCTTTCATGGGGTCTTGCTCTTTTCCCTACATCCCCTCAGGCCCCCTTCACACCTTTCATTACAGAGGTGATGTACCAAAACCTGCGTCACCTCATCGACCCTGCCTCTGTGGAAGAGAAGGACGCCAGCAGCATCCACTATCTCATGCTGCCACAAGCCAGGTTAGTAAGAACCTCCAATACAGCTCACAAATTTAGGGATATTGACACATGTTAAAGTAGTAGAGATTTCTCAGTATCTGTTTGCTAAAACCAATCAACAGTTAGATATTAAATTAATCAACAGTGATCTTTACTCCCCTATGAGAGTACACGGAATATGGCCCAATCACAAAGTCGACCTTAAACCTTAGCATTGAACCCTAAAGTACTCTAATGGTGTCAGACATGGAGTGCGAGTGTCTTAGTCCTTGGGTCTGAGATGGTATATGACATAGAAGAAGATGCAGAAATACATAATGAGAAAAACGCTGACCGGCAGTATATATTTGTATCTATTCCACATTACATTGTTCGCTTTAGAAAACTATCAAATGTTGTAAAAGCCAAACATATTAATCATTTGTGAATATTTAGCTTAAAAACACAAACAACTCTTCATACAGTATGTGCTATTTAACCACAAAAGTGATCAACTGCACCTATTTTAATACAACTTCCATATACCAACGTTTGTTTACATTAAGTTTGCGCAAGGATAATCACATCCTTCACGTCAACAAGTTTGCAATGATTTCTGGGTAAGTCCTACACAAAGTGTGGATTTAGGCATGAAATCTGCAGTAGAGCCCTCACAAACTTGACCATGATGCTCAAGGGCTGTGGGTGGGGAGATGTGGATTGGGCATTTGTTGGGGTTGTGGACTATACAATGGAATTGATGATGTCATCTTCGGCTTTAACATTAACTACCTTCATCTACATTTTGTGACTGAATTATAGACTTATATATAAACTGTTTTGCAGCCCGACCAGTCAATGTGTCACCTCTGCACACATTTGTTCTTCCCCGTAGCCTCCAACCTCTTCCAGCATTTCAAATAGTCAGGCCAAGAAAACAAGGTCAGGAATCAAAGATTTAAGAACATAAAACAGTCTCCTGCTGTGTGTCATAGAGGTGGACTGTTGACTAAAAATACTGGTGTCCTACGTACGCATCCACAGAAATTGTTCCATTTTAAAATGAAACAGTCAAGGCTTTAGGTAAAACAAGCTAAGCTGCTAATACACACTGTAAGGATTTCCTTCTGTATCTACGAGCATGTCTTGTTCATGATTCATCCAAAGGGCAGATGCTTTCTTAAACCAGATTTTAAAGCGTAGAAAAAGTAACTGAGGTCATCTGGTTTAAAAACTGATGCTCTTTCCACATATAGTCACCCTGCAGCCCCACCCCCATGTTACCCCATTTTTCCCAGAGGATATCCACTGCTGATCCACAGCCTAATCAGACTCAGCCAGAGTGCGTGGCCTTACTTTACCCCGACAGTATCACACTCTAAACTCCATGGAGAAGCAGCTTTTGAGGCTCCAGAGTCCACAGTAGTTTTTAGATAACCGTCAGGCTCCATAGCAGCTCTTCTGTTGTAGTCATTTTTATTTCTCTTTATTCCTATTGTTTGCTGCCTCGTTTTCCTCTTGTATGTTATCGTTCTAACATCGCCAGTCTGATCAATTTTTCCTTTTCACAAGTCTTAGTTTATGGGATGGTATAGGTTCTGTGGATAAAGATTTGCTTGTGAGTCATTTCTGAGCAGATTGTCTTTTTCCACTGGTGTGTCAAATGCAAAGCTCTGTTTCTGGCTGATAAAACTGAATCACAGATGATACATCTTTCCACAGCGGTACCAACAATCAGGTCACCTGATAAGAAGAAAAGCATTGAAATCCTTGTGCACTGCCTCCCTCAAGTTCACTGCTAAGTCTGCCTGAACTAACCCTGCTTGCATTTTTTGGATGAAACTGTTGATTCTTTCTTTAGAGAGAGATCAGAGTTGTGTACTTTAAGCAGATCATTTAAAGTACCCACACAAGCTGCACAGCGCCTGTCTCCGTATACAGCCCAGCAGATGGATATTGCTCACAGACTACGATCATTTTCTTTCCCTTCTCTTCAATTACCTCAGTTAAATGTTTGCCTCGGTGGCTGATCAGTTTTGCAATGCCTGGCAGGAATTTCTAATTGCCAAAACTTAATTGCATCGTCTTTAACTGTAACAAAAAAAAGTTCTGACTTGATTAAATATCCATTTGATTTACCAAAAGGAAAATAGTGCGTGTAGTGGTTCATATAATCTCCCCTGTCACTTAGGCAGCACTCACTGCTGCTGCTTTATTAGCGGCTTGTCCTTCCCACTGTCGAATGGGACTACTTCAACCCCCTCCCAAAGGTCAGCCACCAATCAGGCGCCGGGAACAGCTGCTCCTCAATCAGCTCATTAAATGATTGGCCGTCCCCAGTGTCCTCTCCTCTCTCATTCCACTCTACTGTTGGGGGCACACACATGCAGAAGCACACACACACAACCCACACACACAGTGTGTGATGCTGCAGACAGTTAGGGCTAATATCACTATTATGCATGATTATCAGAGGCTGCGCAGCTCTAATTTGTATCCGGAGGTGGAAGTCTCTGTACCTTATTAGTGAAGGATCCTTAGTTATTGTCTGGTACTGATGGTCCTGAACTCTATTTATTTTGACGTGTGGAAATAACCTTGTCACACATCTTTTTTTCTTTTTTCTCTGAAATGTAAAAGCAATTTAATAACCCACCATTAACAAGAATTTGCTGCATGTGAGGTATTACAGAAATGAACCTACGCCCCCAAACTGTGACCTGACATTGTAGAAAGTTTCACAGAATACCAAATGAATCTCCTCAGAAGAGGGGTTGTTTTGAAATATATTCTCTCATCCTCCTACAATCTAATATTCTAGGAAGGAAGCCCAGTAAGGGCGCACACTTTTTTGTTTCGCAAAAGTTTAATCAAGTGGAGCGTTTTATGATATTATTGTTTTTGTGGAAAGCGAGCATCATAAATGCCCCCACCTCTTCAGTAAAACCTCAACTGCAGACTTATGAGGTGTTAGATCATACTACCACACTGTAATGCTAATTCATGTGTTAGGATGCTTTGATTTTCTTAACTTGAGTTTTTTTTTGTTTTTTTTCCCCAGAGAGAATTTGATTGACAAGCGCATTGAGAGTGCTGTCTCCCAGATGCAGTCTGTGATTGAGCTGGGCAGAGTGATCAGAGACCGGAAGACCTTGCCCGTCAAGGTGAATTATTTCCTTTATCCAATCCATTCATGCACTCCAGTGTTGGAGAGGTACAATGAATGTAAACGATGTTAAACATGCTACATTGGTGTTCTTATCTGATTACAACACAAGGAGTTACATGACAGAAAACAACAGCCACTACTGTCAGAAAACTGTCCTTATTGGATGTTTTTTTAGTTTAAAAAGTTTTACAAAATGTTTATATTCTGGGGCGTAGGTGGGACTAGTGGATGGTTTGCACAGAGTGTACAGAGGCTGCCCAGGTTCAAATCTGGCCCGTGGCTCCTTTTTCTGCATGTCATTCCCCACTCTCTCTCTCTCTCTCTCTCTCTCTCTCTCTCACTTATTTCCAACGTTGTCCACTGTCCCATCTCTCCAATAAAGGCCCAAATTACATTTTTTTTAAGGTCACAAATAAATTGCTAAATAGATTTTTCTAGAAGTATAGTTTTTAAAATCAATCATAAATCAGGATCTGTTTTTTTGTTTCTTCTATTCCTACCATAGACTGTATATAACAGTGTATGATTCCTGCAGGTCCAGTATAGGCCTTATTTTTCTCTTTGATGGCCAAGGTATTATTTCTGTGCTTTGCTTTAACTGTGTAATGTGTTGATGTATTTCAGTACCCGTTGAAGGAGGTGGTGGTCATTCACCAGGACCCAGAGGCTCTGAAAGACATCCAGTCCCTGCAGAAATACATACTTGAAGTAAGTAAAATGTCTTTAAATGTTTTCTTCTTTTATGTTAACAAGAGGACATTTTATTAATTGATCATGCTTTTTGTGTGCTGTCTTGGTAAAGTGTCTTTTAACCAGTGCTCTATTTGAAAGAGAGACATACATCTTCTCACACTCCGTCTCCAGAACCCATCTGTGTCTCTTTTATTTAGGTGTTTCTCTAAGTCTTTTGACTGTGCTCTAATAAGTGCTGTTACTTTGACAAGATAAAGAGCAATTTAAAAAAAAAAAGTAGAATCTCTTAATTATACAAATAATCTGAGTAATATGTGTATTTGTATAGCATTTTTAGAAACAAGGGTTTACAAAGTGCTTTGAATGCAGAAGCATTCGTAACAACAAAGCAGAAGAACCCAAACAACAACAACATAAACACAACAAAGCAACCCATGGATGAGGCACCCAACAACAATAAAACCCCAATAGTTAAAGAACCCAGACAAAGAGTCAACTAACTTCAAAACCCAAACATCACAAGAACTCAGGCAACACAGGAACTCAGACAACTTAGGTCGATTGGAGAGTACCAAGAATAAATAAATAAAGATAAATAAGCAATCAAAAGAGATAGAAACAATAGAAGTTAGCTAGAAGCTATAATCTTAGACAATCCAAAGCCTGTATGTTCAGTTGTAATATTGAAAGTTCAATATAGATGGTGTTTGTATTATCAGCTGTAATTTAAATTTTAGTGCATTGTTAATTGAAAGAGGGGCTGTTTTTTAGAAGTTGTCCTATAGAGCAGTGGTTCTCAAATCGTCTAGCCTCAGGACCCGCCACCAACTCCTCCCTGAAAAATCGTGACCCAAATTTAGATTATTTTTCATCTAATCAGATTGATCTAATGAAAAATTGTGCGGTTTTTGCAATTTGCCACTTCCGTCAGATGTTTTGTACCTCAGCCAGTTCAAAACATCCGACCGAAGCAAGAAACTGAACAAAACTAACACATTTAAAAAAGGGCTTTACAGGCACATGCTCGCGACCCACTGAAAACAGCTCCGCAACCCACTTTTGGGTTCCCACCCACCAGTTGAGAACCACTGCTATAGCGGCATTGGTGGGGTAGTGGTGAGTGTACGCGCCCACATGTACAGAGACTGCTGCTTGGGTTTGAATCCGACCTCTGACTCCTTTCGCGCATGTTATTCCCCCCTCTCTAGCTATCTCTCTTTCTCTCTCTCTCTCTTATTTCCTACTCTATGCAATGTCCTATCAAGATAAAGGCAAAATTCCCAAAATAAATCTTAAAGGTGTCCTATCGGTTTTGGGCAAATAAAAAAGGCAAAGGTAAATTTATTTTGAAAGCTTTATTTTTAGGCTGTTTGCCTTTATTTAGACAGGACAGTGCTGCTGTTTGAAACAAAAAAAAAGAAACCTTTTGGTTACATTCCTGAAATGAGAGATACCTGGTTCTCACTGCAGCTGCCTGTCATGTTTATTTCAAGGTTTCCGTAGGAAATCGGGAGTGAGTGGTGATGACATGCAGGAAAATAGCCACAAGTCGGACTCGAACCCAAGCGGCCCTCTGACAGTCCTGATGAATTACAATAGTGTGCAGGGTTAGAGCTGCCAAAGAGAGTGGAAAACAACTTCTCACATGTTACACTAACTGTCACAGCCGTTAAGCACAGGAAGCGCTGACATTTTTTTGATTTTCCACTAAGCTCAAGACGTCAACGTTGTTCAACATATGACTTAGATGACCTCCTTAATTTCTTTATTAAGAATGTCTGGTTCTCTTTGATGTGAAACTGTGGCACTGTTGCTGCATTTATCCCACTAAAGCCAATCGGAAATAGTTTATGAATGAGTAAGAGGATACATGCTAAGAAGTTATGAATGCATCTAAATTTGGGAATGGATTGGGGCTCTTGTTACGATAAGATGCTAACCCCGGAAATTGACAGAACATTTTCAGACTGAGGTCCATGTGGGAAAAGAGCTTTTCCTACAGCCGTCTGTTGGATCCTGCAAGCTGTATCTTAGTTCAAACCTCTTCTTATCTCGCCCTGTTTCATTTCTGGGTGGGGGAAACATTTAACCTTGCCAGCTTAAAGCCCTCTTCCAGTAAACAAGTTTTATTTGCTCAGAATTGAGAGCAGCCTGAGGTCCCTTTGCTCAGGGAGGACCCTTCAAACTGTCTTTCAATGTGTGTGCTGTCTTGTCAGACAGGATGAGCGATTGAAAGTTTGGTTGATTCACTCTGGATTCACCTTTTACTCATTCAGCCTTTCATAATTATACTACAACTGTTGTGATTTTCTGGTAATACTTTGATACTAGATAACTACACAATAATTCATTAGGTTCTGGGATCTTGCTCTCGTCACACCTCTGTATGATGAATAATAGCATTATTGTTGTCATTCCCTGGCTTTCTGACTGGTTGATTTAACGGCTGACTTACTCTGTAGGTGAATTACATTTTTAAACAGCCCTCTACAGCGCTCTTGACTTCATTTGACTTTTACTGGATGTAACAAAGCATTTACCTTAACTTTGAACCCCTCAGAATTGCCTCTTTTTACATAAACAGTAGTGGGCATACCAGCCCATACCAATACCAGCTTATTTAATGGGTTTTACTTTGTTGTAAACGAAACAGGAGGTCAATCCTTAAAGGTATGGGTCATATTGCTAATGTTTGTTTCTTGGGGTAAACCCCCCCCCCCCCCCACACACACAAAAAAAAATGTTTTAACAAAATGTCTCATTGGTTTGGGGGGAAGAAAGAGAGTTGACACATAAAGGGATGGTTATTGTTGTTCAATAGCCTTTGGTTGTTGTCAGCTTTGCTTTGCTGATAATCTGTTGTAGTTGTGAGCTTCTGACGCTGCAGTATCTCAGTCTGTAAGGACTTGGGTTGGGAACTGGAAGGTTGCTGGTTCAAGTCCCCTTGCCGACCAAATCTGGAAATTGGTCTGGTAGCTGGATAGGTACCAGATCACTTACTGAGCACTGCCGAGGTGCCCTTGAGCAAGGCACTGTTCCCCCGAAACCAGCCCAGGAGCACTCACTGTGGGCAGGCCCCTAACTCTGACATCTCTCCATTAGAGCATGTCCACAGGATCCTGTTTGTGCATCTGGGTTTTTTCAGCCTATGTGTGTGCAGCATACAGTAAGTGTAACAATTGAATTTCCCCTTACGGGATCAATAAAGTATATCTAAGTGCAGCAACATAATGCATATTTTGCCCATGTGCACTGTTTTATTGAATTCTTACCAGTCTAGAAATGTTGCCCTTATGTTGATCCCTCATCCCACCTCAGTAGCTTATGTGTGCTCTCTGTCCACAGGTCAAAGATGCTTTTCGAGGTTAAACTATAAACTAATGCAGTAGGGTCACTGAATTTCCACACTGTTGCTAGGAGATCTTCTCTAGTAATATTTTTCCGGCAATTCTGGTTTTGCAGCAGATAATGAAAACATGTTATCAGAATTTGATGAATTATTGAATCAACTTTTGTTCACTTTTTGTGCACATCACAGATTTTTACATGCTTCAAACTGTTTTTTGCACAGACAACAGCAACCTTTTAGCAACAAAAACTGGAAACCTCTCCACTGTTTTGTGTTGATATTAACTTTAACCGGTCAACAATTTGTTCAGACGCGTGTTCAATACTGATACAAAGTGGAAAAAATGTGTCTTATTGAGCCCTCATACATACACCATGTAAAAGTGGTAAATATTGTTTATATCTTAATTTCCCTGTGCTTTGTACATAGCTTATTATTCTTTGAATACTCTCACTTTGTGTTTATTGCTTATTCTATTATTACTTCTTCTACTTTATTTTTTTATTCTATATATATTTCTTTTTCCTCCTGCTATGTTGTTTTTAAGAGCAACTGTAACAGCCGGATTTCCCCCTGGGATTAAAACAGTATTTCTGGTTTCTGAACCTCACCTTCACCTCTAAGACAAATTGTTTCTTCTTTTCCGTTTTCTTCAGGAGCTCAATGTGCGACAGTTGACGATGTCTACAGATAAGGACAAGTATGGTATCAGTCTGAGAGCCGAGCCAGACCACATGGTGCTGGGCAAGAGACTAAAGGGAGCCTTCAAAGCCATCACTGCTTCTATCAAGGAGCTCACCAGCACGCAGCTCGAGTCCTTCCAGAAAACAGGTATAAACCAAGTGTAGCTGTCTGGTATGTGTCTGTGTTGGGGGGGGGAGTGCACACTATCAGTGAACTTGAGGAAACCTTTTAAATGCAAAAATGCAAATCAGCGGCCATATGCAGTTTTTTTAGCTTACATATTTTTCTGATTACAAATACCAAAAGCTAATCATTAAGCAATAATTCTGTTTTCCGAGTAATTGATGAGTGAACATTCAAGCACATGATTGCCAAAATGCTGCATAATCTTTCAAAATGATATTTATTTAACAATAAATGTAACTAAGATTACTGGAAACGAAATACGGTGCAAATGGACAGCCGGTTTATCTTCTGCCTGCAAACCCCAACGCTCCTGAAACTATAATCAGAGCTCGAGTACGGATCAAAGTAGTCCAAGGTATCTTGTCCGTCCAATTATAGAAAGACGAGGAGAGCCCCCAGAGTCTCCAGGGAAGGAGGCAGTGGAGGTCAGCTGGGCTGTGGGAACTTAACATTTCCAATCACTCGGATGTTTGAAGTCTGGCCAATTGGATGGAAAAAAACTGGAGGATGAGCGATGGAGGGATAGAGATAGATTTGGTGGAGGATGGTTGAAAAATTTATGGAGGGAGGAAACGCACAGATAAAAATGTTTACAGTTGATCCGTGATACATTCTGCTTACTCACAGGAGAGAGGAGAGTTCTGAACGATACAATGCTACACCGTTCTGTTGAAGGGGAACTTAATATCAAGCTTGGACTGTCAGCCTGTTAGCTTATCTTAGCATAAACACCTGAAGAAGGGGAAATGGGTCGTCGGAAAGTGACCAACCAAAATAATATGATAAAGAAATATAAATAACATAAGCCTTTTCTACTGTTCATTAAGTGGTGTAAACATTTCTGTCTCTTAATACAGTTTCACAAGTAGTATGTCCATGGAATAACGAATGCTACACGTGCAGTCAAAGTCTACTTTTAACCTCCAGCTCAGACTCCACAAGTCAAAAAACCTTGTTCGACTTGGACTATAAGGGTGGCAATTTGGTTGGAGACTGATGGTGGTTTCATGGCCTTTGGCTGAATTGCTCATTATTCCTTACCTGTACCTTTGATCCCATCAGTTTGACAGGGAAAAAAAGAAAATAGGTTAAGACACCAGGCGGGAAAAGAGATGTGAATAAAGGAGGGACACAGGAAATCAAAGCATGGAAATCTAGGATTAGAGAGAAATGAAGTGACTGTTTCACCCAGCCTCTGGGCGTGGAGAAGAGAAAAGAAGAACACGGTCATGGTTTTTAGTCAGAACACAGACGTGGGTAATTGTTGCCACTGGCAAAAAGAAAAGATATAAAATCGGACTCAGATGGGTTTGCGTAATGTTTGAATGCTCAGCTCTTTGGTGGATGTGGTCAGGTGAGATTGTAAAGTAAGGAATCTCTAAATGTAAGTAAATACAGGTCCAGACCCTGGTTAATTCAAAACAAAGCCCCAGCCTCCACGCATGTTAGTAGAGCTTTATTATTAAGTGTGGCATGTTGTTATTGAAACGTTTTCAACGATCTTTCCAATAGAGGAAACACTGCTAAATACAGACTTATACTCACGCAGTCAGTTGGCAGTTTATTCAGATTTAATTAGGAGAGTAGAGGAGGCATAAATAGTTTATCATCATGTTTGCACTAAAGCCTGTAGCCAGAATTGATTTAATCATAATCTGCCTCAATAATCAGCTATTTCACACGCGTTGAGACTTTCTCAACCTGCCCTTATATCATCAATTTCCTGTTATCAGACTGGTGGCGTTTTAGTTTTGTACATGTTTTCCTATTTGTAAGACCCTGAGGATCATTTTAGATTTCCACAGAAAAGAAAATGACAGCAGTTATAGTTTTCCCCAATTAAATGATCATGAAGTGACGTGAGTTATTAAAGACAAAGAAGAAAACATCGTCTCACTAGATTGTCCTTTAACTTCCTACTGACTGCATACTGTGACATTTGTCATGGTGTTCTCTTTAGGCCACGCAATAACCCTACGCAAGAGGAAAAATCTTAATGTTTGTGGTCGCAAACTCTTTTAATGACCACCCCCCCTGGTGGTTTCTGTTTTGACGGTGTAATTTATGGTTGTTCTGAAATGTGGTCTAATGGTGCAGAGACACAACGGGGTTACATTGTTTTGATTTCTGCATCAACAGCATATTTACTTTGTTAAAGGCTGTTTTTCTAATGACTGATGAATGTTATTATCTGCTTATTTTTTGATTTTGTTTCAATACCACAACTGTGGCCTCCTTTTGTTGCTGTTGATTTTAAGGATCCATCATGGTTGACGGACATGAGCTCCATGAGGAGGACCTGAGGCTGATGTACACCTTCAACCAGAGCTCTGGCTCAGCCGCGCAGTATGAAGCACACTCTGATGCACAGGTATGCTATTCATTTAAACCCAATCCTTTTGGCTTCGCTAACTTTTCATGAGAATGGGACGCCCTGCAGGAAAACAGAAGTAATACCGTTAGTCACCTCCTCCTTCTTTTTTTTTTTCCACTAAGACCAAGGGCTGACAACGGCAGTGCCATTTTCAACTTTTATCAGACATGCTCGATAAGTAGGCTACCTATAAGACGAGTGGTGCGCGACAGCGGTGTGAAAATGGTCTTGTATCATAACAACGTTCTACCGCCGTCCCTCTTAGCCCCACCAATTTTATCAGACAGTTCACAGACGGGCTAACTGGCTGCTTTTTATAACTGACAGATGGTGTGTGAACTAGTGCAATAAAGCTGTTAGCACCTCTCGCGAGATGACCTCGGCCGGCTGCCAAAGTTACATACTGCAGTAAACGGGTAAACGGGCCGCGCTGTGGACATGGCAGAGACGCCATCTTCCCTGTTGAGAGTTATTGGGCTGTTAAATTGACCTTGAAACTACTATTATATTGTTGCTTTAAAGACTGTTGTTGTGTATATTGAGCCACAAAGTGTAATGCGACCAGATCTAAAGAGAAATGTTCCTATGCTGCAGCACCTGCACTAGGCTTCTATATACTGTAAATGCATTTAGGTGCCTTTACTGTAAGTGTGATGTATGAAATAATTTCACGCCTAAGTGGAGACCAGCATGTATGCGTTTCCCACAGGCCCTCTCCAATCAGTGCTTCTCCAACCGTAAACACACCACAAGACTGCACCTTAATACCAGTTTACTGAGCTGGCTTTATAATTCTCTGTTACTGTCACTTGCTCACACTGTCTCTCCAGCACCCATCTGTCTCTCTCTCTCTGTCTCTCTCTCTCTATATATATATAGCTCACTCTCTCTATCTCACTCTCTCTCTCTCTCTCTCTCTCTCTCTTGCTGTATGTTCTTAGATGATAGATCAGAAAAGTAGAGTAGAAATGTTTTTACATTAAACCTCAGTAATCTATAGTTGTTGTTTTACTTTTTGTATTGAGGAATAATGTGATGTTAATGTTAAAATTATTGCTGAATCATTGTAATTGTGGGCAGGATTTTAAGACAATTTAATGCTTATTTGATATTAGATCACATAACTCTTCAATATTTTAAGTATCATTTTTAAACTCCATTTTCATATTTATTGTGCTACATATTTTTAAGCAAGAAAAATAACTTGAAAAGACAAGAAAGTGCTTACAATGATTTAAAACAGGTATCTAAACTAAGCGGTAACATAGTGCTTCTCAAATTATTATTTTTGGATCAGTTTAACATCGAGCTCCAACTCTCCTTTTGACTCTATGTTTGATTTCAGGTCCTGGTGCTGCTCGATGTCACCCCGGACCAGTCCATGCTGGATGAGGGCGTTGCTCGAGAGGTCATCAACCGCATTCAGAAACTACGCAAGAAGGTGGGACAATTATTTCAGGAGCGCTACTCCATTGGGAAACAAGAGTGACACATAACACACTACTAATAAATGTAACAATCCAGTGTGTAATGATCAGATGGTGACGTATTTGAAACTGTTTGCTGATACATGTAATCAGGGCTGTGACGGGGTGAACAAAACACGTTGCTGGAGCAGACTGAGGATTGTACTGAAAAAAACACATGAAGACTTTTTATATGGGGAGTAATATATGACAGTAAGCGACACAGAAAGGAAATGAAATGTGAGAAACATTTAGAAACATGGCACAGTTGACAAAAACCTTACTAAAAATACTATATGAGAAACATAATACTATAAATGTTTAAAGGAGGACTGGAAAACTAGCACATACCCTCCTGGTGGATTTGTTTCACACTGCAGACCTCAGAACTAAAAATAAAGACACACAAGAAAGGATTTGATAGATTTATAAATCAAAAGGAAGTTCATCAGCATCTGTTAATTTATATTTAAACATTTTTTTTTTTAAATTTAATAAAAGACTACATAACCTTGTTTTAAATCTTCTTGAATTGAATATGCTTATTTATGTGTTCATTAATTTTTGATGGGACTAGTGTTTAAGATTTAATGGCATATAACTTTAATGGCAATCTAAACTCATCTAACTGAGGTTGCAGACAGCAAACATGAATACCCTCTCCTCACACCCACCCAATCTAATGCAGGGAGGGGGCTAGAAGGTGCTCAGTGTTTAATTTGTCCATTATGGGCTTCTGTAGAAACATGCAACAATGCACGTCTGTGAAAGAGGGCCTGCTCCTTCTTAGGTAATAAAAATCATGAGAAGACAAAATTACAAAGTTTAACGTGTGCTTTCAGCGGTTAGTTTATTCTTTATTTTTATAGATCAGTCTAAGTTATTTTGGTATCGTTAAATACTAACTATCACTGATGTCTCCACCATTTGTCAGATTTGGGACACCATATTGGACCCTTGGTTGTACATGACAGTAACTGCTGACGTTCTCTTGTACTGTTTTTCACACAGTTCTAAGTTTTTATGGACTGATAAACTAATATTGCATGAATTGATGGTGAAATGACTCCTTAGTTCCAGCACAATATTGTTGACCAAATACAAAAGAAGAGTATCGTACATACTTTGGTTACATCTCCCTCCCTTTCTTTGGCCCTCTCTCCCCCCTTCCTCTTTATGTCCCATGCTAATTTTGTGAGGCCAGTTTTGAAATCTTTCCACTGCAGCGTCACAGTTAGAAGTTTCTCCATCATAAGGCAGGCTTAATGGAAGCTTAATTACAGTCTGGCCCCTTTCAGATTCTAATGTTGGAGCTTTGAAGTGGTCTAGGGAGTAAAGACGGATTAGCCAACAGCCTCTTGTTTTCACAAGCAACAAACAGTTTTTTCCGTCCGCCTATAGCAGTGGTGTGCACTGGCTTCCAGCCAGGCTAAATTCCTCCAGTTATTTCAAACTGAGATCTGTCAGGAATTTTCCACCCCGGGGATGGGAATTAATGTTTGAACCATTCTTTGACATGTTTGGTAGTAGTTTGGGGCAGTTTTTTGTATTTATCATGGTTTGTGTGGGTGATTGTGGTTTTCTTTTGTGTGCAAGTGCTGTGTTGGAAAATAGAGGTTAGCATTTCCTTTATTTCTTTTTTGTTTGTTATTGTTGTTTTCAACTGCTCACAAACTGGAGATCTGTGTAGCTCTGTCTGATGTGAACACTGTGTGTATGTGTGTCAGTGTGAGTGTGTGTGTCAGTGTGTGTGTGTGTGTGTGTGTGAGTGTGTGAATCAGCCCCTTCAGGGTAGGGTCACTACCTTGACTTGGCAGGAAAAGCCTATAAACCTTCTTCCATTGATTGACTGCTCCTCTGTATCTAGCTAACGTTATTCCTCTGCCCTTGAGCCACATACTGCAATTGGAGTGTGTGTGTGTGTGTACTACCCAGTCAATATGTATGTGTACGGCCGTGCACATGTGTGCACGGCTGCACACTGCAGATTAGGATGAGATCAATGTGTTTGAAAGTGTCAAGGTTAGAGGAAGCTGGCAGAACACAATGCCAAAATAGATGGGCTTTCATCCAATAAAAAAATCTCCCCTTGTTCCCTCCTGCCTTCATTTGTTCCTCCTGTACTGTTTTGGTTCTTTAAAATCCCTACCCTGTCTTCTCTTGCCCGCCCGTCCATTTTGTTTATCCCATCCGCTCTTTCTTCCTTGTATCAGTAATAGCTTTGTCTGGATTTCTTTTTCTTACAGGAGAGAGACAGCCTTCAGAAGAAATACCTATCGAAAAATTACATTAAATTATAAATTTTTAGCCTTTGTAGTGCCTTTTACTATACAAACTTTTTTTAAGTAAAAGATAACATCCTAAATTACTAACAGAAAAACACTGCTTGGTATTTATTAATGAGTTAATACCCATTTCCAATCACTCAGGGTCATTTGGTTCCATCAGATGAGATTACTGTGTACTACCGCTGTCAGCCAGAGGGGGAGTACTTGAGCTCTGTGATCCAGGCCCACACTGACTTTATCCTGGCTACCACCAAGGCTCCAATGCTGCCCTTCCCTGTCCCCAAGACAGCCAGCGTCATCATAGAGGAAAAGACTCAGGTATGAAAGCAGACCTCAGGGCGAGTGGGAATATTGTTTCCTTTACTACCACTCATGTTCAGTTCAGTAGGCAGATTGAGGTGCACCACAGCCTTTCAGCATTAATAAAACATGTTTGTAGAATACTCTGTGTAATATAATAAGTGTGAGCGACAGTGATTTTATGCCTAAAGTGTTCTTAGGATCTTTTTAAGCATAGTAATTCCTAAACATCTGCAATTGAGTGTATTTTTTGTTTGGTATAAGAAATAAAGAACACAATTTTTTTTGCCTTCTTCATTCTCTTCTTTTTTCTCATTGCAGCTAAAGGGCTCAGATTTGGAGTTAATAATCGTAAAGGGATGTTCAGCCCCTCGCATTCAGCTAAATGGACCAGCCTGCTCCTACGTGAACCTCAGAGTGACGGTCAACAACAAAGAACAAGGTTGAAAACGTGAAACGTGTTGTTTCCTATCAGAAAAAAAATCAAATAGCATTTTGGGGAAATTGAGCATACATTGATTGTGAGATGGTGGGATGTGTAGCACACAATACTTGGACAATAATGATGTAGTCTTCAAAGGTTTATTGTGCTTTTGTAAAAGATAAATTCAGTCACTTTACGATACACTTTGTCTCAAAGTACTGTCGAACATTCAGCTGCTTCCACTTCAGTCAATCAATCAATCAATCAAAAAACAATAGAAAGACACATCCAACATGTAAGCAGAAAGGCCCTTACCAATGTTTAACAACATAGCATATATTGCACATTTCCAATATTGCACAAGATCTGCAAAAACACAGCATGAGAGATGAAATAGCAGAGGTAAGAAAAAATGAAAACATAGGAACACCATGAAGCTATTGCACAGCCCACACAACATAATTTTGATTTGTCTTACCTGTAGCTCTCTCTCTGATCTGTTTGACTCGTCCAATAATACTGTCGGACTGTTTTTTTTCTTTTAGAGGGGGTCGTGCTGTTGGAGAACCCCAAAGGGGATAACAGACTGGGCTTGGACCTGCTGAAGAAAGTGTGTGGCAGCATCTTTGGTACCAATAACACCCAACTCAGAGTCTTCAACGACAAGACCGGTAGGAAAAGACATATGCAGCCCAGTCTCATCTTTTTGCAAGACAAAAAAAACCAAACTGTTTTAGTAGAAAAGAGCTCACACTGTTAAACTTGTGAGCTGAGGGAGCAGAGAGACTGCTTTTTTCCTAAATCAAACTTATTGATTCTTTCTGAAGTGAACCCTGGAGATCTTAACTTTTAGTTTTTAGACATTTATTTTTTAGCCATGTAATATTGGCATGATTTCACAGCATGATTTGTTTTGGTGTGTGTAACAGGACTGTGCAGCCAGCTAGCTTAGCTAAAAGCATTAGAAGCTCAACAGTTGAGCATCTCTCAGATAGCTATGTAGCTGCAGCTAACATTTGTACAGCAGGGTGTGCAGTAACATTTATCATCCATACACTCCACTGCATACTGATGTAGCATCATTAATATAATGTTGTAACGTTTGATAAAGCATTTTTGCCTGCAAGATAAATTTCTGCTAATTTATCTATTCTTCCCCACATGTTCCAAATGATTTCTATTTCAGTCTGTTTGACACTATAAGAAGGAAAAGGTCGATATAAAAGCTTTGTATTCTCTTTTAGTCCTCATTCTTGTAAATGAAAAGACAAAATTGACCCACATTTGTGGCGAGTTAAATGGTTCTATAATCACCCAGATGAATATCTAACTCTACTTTCTATATTAATGTTCTTTGTGTGTTCTTCACAGAGTTGACCAGCAAAACAGACCTTCAGACTCTCAATGGTAAAACTCTGTCAGTGACTTCGGGTTCTTCCTCCCCTGGATCCGCCCCCACCACTGACACCCTTCTGTGTCCTTACGTAAACCTGCTGCTCTGTAACGCACAACCGGCTGGTGAGAAACACACTTCAACACACACCCATGTAGTGTATATACAGCCAAGGCTAAACTGACATGGCTCCTTTTAATTATGATCCAATTCTCCAGAGAGTCCAATGGCAACAATGAATTCATCCTTCTGACCAGTTATGTCTCTTAAGTCAAAGCTTCATTTAAATTCATACATGAAACATTGTTCTTCTGTAGATATGAGAAGGTTTACTACTAAAAAAAAACAACAAGTTAGCCTCCTTCATTGATGAATAGTTGGACATTTTTGAAACATTGTTTACGCCCCGCATTAAGGAATAGTTTGACATTTCAGAGAACATTCCCTGTTGAGTACATGTTCTTTTTTATCTGTTGTGTATAAGTTACTATATTTTATACTTCTTGATCAGAGTAAGACTAAAATATCTCTTCCACTCCTGCCTGTACAATATAGCAAACAGTAAGCTATAGCGGCCAGCTAATGTAGCTTAGCACAAAAACAGGAAACGGAGGGAATCTGCTTTCCTGGCTAGGACCAAAGAAATAGTCTTAACACAAACACCCCTTATCCTGTGGTTTCTACACATAATTTTTTACCTTTGTAAAAGTGAGGCTAGCTTTTTCTTGTTTTCGTATGCCTTCAGCTAAGCAAAGCGTCTTTTAGTTTAGTTTTTTAACTTTCAAGGAAGTGAATAGGTTGGTTTTATTCAAAAATAATGAGCTAGTCTCTTAAAATACTGGATCATATTTTAGTTAGATAATTATTTAGTGTATACAACATATTAATCTCTACAGAAAATAGAAACTATACTACATACATTACTAATAATAGTGATGTAGTGTTCATTAGACCAGAAGAATTGACCCAAATCGAGCTTTATCCGGTTAAGTCATTCACACAGTCACACTCATCAATAGATCATCCAGGCCCTGTCTTTCTCATCAACTCTTTTTGATTATTCCTCTCCTCTGTCTCTTCCTTCTCCCAGGGCGGAGCTTGCACTTGTTTCCTTCCCAGGACTTGTGAACAAGCCGCACTAACAAGCCAATCATTTCTTAATTTGTAAAGGAAGTAAAGTCTGTCTGTTTCACTTCTCCTCAACACTCCTTTACTCTCCTCCAGAGTGCCAGTCAGGAGACGCAGGCACCCTCCTTTTGGTGAACCCAGTGGGCAAGAACGGGCTCGACCACTCAGGTCTGCTGTCTGAGGCTGCCAAGGTGTTCGGCCTCCGCAGCAGACGACTCAAACTCTACCTGGACCAGGACCTCACACAGGGTAAGATGAAGAGACAGAAGATATCATGTTATATTTATGCTGATGTCTGTGTCTGTGATATGGCAGCTCATTTAGTATGCTTAAAATAGTCCATTATGGATAAAATAAATTACTGCAATGAAACAGTGATGTTTTAAATCCTGATTCTGTATCATATCTTGAGCAGCTTTGGAGCTTTAGAGATTCATTTGAAAACATTCTTTCTTTTTTTAAAGGCTTTTTCATGTCTTTTTGTTTTTTTTCAGAGCTGCCGGCTGATTCATCAGTGAAATCTCTAAACACCAAAACTCTGTTTGTGAGAGTTCTTCCAACAACAGCCGAAGCATAAATCCAGAGAAGCCATGTCGGGATCCTGGCATCTCTTGTAGGTTCCCTGAACAGAGTTTTTTTACCCCTTAAATCTTAGGAATAAGCCCCCTTTAAAGTATAGTCAAGTCATAATCTTTTCTTGGAATCCAGATGCAAAAAAGGTTTATCTATCAAGTTCAAAACGTTTATTCTACAGTCACTATCGTCAATGTCTTAACATTTCTTCAGACATCTCCGGCACAAAATTTGCCAGCCTAAAGATGTCTTGGAATTTTGATGTGAAACAAAAGCTCTAATTAATCATCGCATATAGCCAAGTCATACAATACTGTTCTCCCTGTCGCAGTTTTAAGACTTCATCTTTAATTTGTCACTTATTATAGTAACTGACACTTTAATGGAAGCACAATGTGTTGCTTCTTAACAGAAGAAAAGATTTACATAATTTCTTCACATTAAAGTGGATGTACTTCTATAACAGACAATTACATGCGACAGCTGAATAGATCTGCTGGATAAATGTGTGATGAGGCTGGTTACAGAAAGTAGGATGGATGGAAAGCCAAACATCAAACTCTTCCTGGAAATAAGGATTCAAGGGTACTGTCTAACCTGTCTAGCTGTCAGTATTGCCAATGGGTGTTTTCCTTTCTTATGCTAATTAGGACATATTATGCAAGCTACTTCCCTTCAAGGCTTATTTGAGGTGAGCTTAGTCCACAGTAATTATTGCTGCTGCTCATTATTGGGAAACCAATTTGGCCTATTGTGCTTCAACAGATTTTTGAATTTAACAGATAAACCTATTCTGCTTATTCATTGCATTGGGAATCCTTTGACAATTGTAAAGGAATTTAAAAGGTAAAATGGATTTTCGGGCTGCTGAATCTACAGGACAAAGGGGTCTCTAATAAAAAAAAAAAATCAACACATTGAGAATGTTCTATTTTAAGTGACAAATGGAATAAATCGAATGTGACTAAAATTCTGTATGTTTTGTTTTTCTGTCCATTCAGACATCATGTCTGTGGGATCCTGCAGACTCATTTAGCTTCAATTATAGAAAAAACATGTTTCCGGACGTTTTGACTGAATCATGGTACTCTCTTTGGACTTTTGCAAAGTCGGGGAACCAGTAAAATAAATGGGATTTAAATTTATTCTGCAGCAAAAAAGTGAATTTGAATGAACATTTTGAAACATGTAAGATGGTTTATCTTTAAAGCCCAGCGTAAAGACTGGAGACAGGAGAAACTGTACAAATATAATAAAATTTGCCCATAGCACCATGGTCTAAAACCACTAATACCTATGTTCTAGATAAATTAACTAGATTTAAAATGTTAATTATGAGCTGTAGAGGTGCTTGTTGGTGGATTTTGAACAGAGCTGTTTACTCTTATTTCCAGAATTATGTAGAGTTAGGCAAACTGCCAATGTTTTCCTAACATTTCTACCTGTCCTGCCAAGAAAATGTTTGCAGTAAAATTGAACAGCAGAGCAGGTATACAACCTATTCATAGTTGACAATAAGGCACTTGACTGTTTCAAGTTTTTCCCAGGTTTATCATAAAGTCTGTAATCAGCTCTTACAAAGCAGCTTGTCTGTTACTCCATCAATGTAGCGAAAAACTCAAAGTGAAAAATCATGCTCTTCTGGCTAGAAATACAACTTTGTGATGGTATTATTCTCCTTAACCAGAAGAAAGTTAGAGAAATGTTTGCATAGTTGCTGTGAACCAATTTCTCAAAGCAATGCAGGGATCCTTCATGTCAAAATAAACAGCCACATTTTCTGTTTCCAGTTTGTGTATTAAAAAGTGTCTTGTTTGTTCTATTACTGCTGACCCAGTAACAACCTGTCCACAGAAAGAGATGTTAATCTTCCACTGGGTCATCCTGACAACTATTTTTATCATCAAGAGGCTGTAATAGTCCTACTAAAATAGTCCTATTATTAAAGTCACTTTCTTCAATGTCAACAAACTTTGCCGGTCGAAAAGAATTCAGATGCATGGCAGTTCTGTTGGAGACTTTAAAAGAGACAGTAAATAATCTCACTTGACTCAGTAGATTACATTGTTCTCCTATAATTTGTTTTCCAGGGGATGTTTACAGGGTACTAACATCCTCTGGCATGATGGTGTTAATTTGTCCGTGAAACCTGGTTTAACTGGTCTGCAGCCAATAAAGTGAGATGCCCTGTGTGTGTTTGTGTGTCTGTGAGTGTATAGGCAAGGGGTGTATACAGTAGGACTTGTGTGTGCTGATTAATGAAGAGCCCCGGGGGGGACTGCTCGGGTATCTCTCAGTTGGGGATGTTGCAGCAGTTTTTTTTTTCCACTGGGAAAAACAACACAAAATAGTGGGTTTTTTTGTTCAGTGTGTTATTAAGTCTGAGTTGATAGCGCATTAAACCTTGTCTCTCCATTGTTTGGGATTTTCTTGTCAGATCAGCAGAGGGAGAAATGAAGGGCAATAACATGAGGATAGCTGGGGGAAATGAACTGAAGTATGTAGGAACATAACGAAAGATTTGTACTTCGGTTTTTTCTCAAACTCTTTGGACAAAGTATGAACTGAAGTTGACTTGGAATTTAGGGGAACACTTTTTCCCCAATTGAAATATTACCCATATTTTGAAATAAACACAAAATACTTGTGCCCTAATGAGAGGGTAAACACTGTGGGAAGAAACCCCTCATCCCAATTACGCCCTTAAGCCCTACTGACAAGTTACATAACCTACCACATGGCCCTTGGTTGCCACCACAACCCAGAGCATCACCACCTTCAAAAGACCCAGGCTCTTTTTATGCAACACAGATACTATCACATGGCACCTATCAGCCCTCCTAACACAACTATGAAGACCGATGGGCAGCAAGAGCCATGACATAACTATACCACCTCACAGTGTGAATAGAATATTATTGCATTTTACTGTTACTGAATTCCTGCATCTCTATTGTCAGAGTCATTTCAGTATGATGATTTTAGCCCCCCTCCAGGGCGGAGCAGCATGCTGCTTCACTGGTTAAATATTAAGCACACAGCTCTGTCTCATCCTCTTCTAATCTGTCTCGCTCCCATCTGCTCCTGCTGCTTCATTTGTGCCTCTGCACACCCCTACCCAGGTAAGTGAGTAGCTCTGTGACCCATCTGGTCGTAGACATCACAGGAATACAGTATGCAGTATGTGAGAAGTGAACATGATCGCTGTCATCTGACTGTAACAACTGACAACACAACTCATTTACACTGTGCTGCATTCAGCCAAAATCCTTGGCCCAGTACAGTATAAAGTGTTTTTCAAGAATACACATTGGCCAATAGAGGCTGTTCTGACCAACTCTGGCAACATGGCAACACATGTATGCTGCGTAATGGAAAAATCTAAATCTCTGCCAGTAAATCAATTTTCAGTGCCCAGTGTGTGGCCTACTGAAGATTGACAGCAGCAAATACTACCTCAAACAACTAGCACATTGGTAAGCGGATATGAAAAAGACAAGTTATTCTACTTTGGATGTAGCAGGTGTACAGGCCACAAAATGGAATTAAGGTGGCATCTGATAATGGGAAATTTGAGACAGTTATAGCATAGATTTACAAAAGATTAATATTAAAGCTGATAGAAAATATGAAGTGGAGGTAAATGCCAAGCTCTGTTTACCCAGCTATTGGCTTACTGTTTCTACCAGAGCCAGAGGGAAATGGATACTATTTGGAAATGATAGCAACACCAACAGTGAAGTTATGAATATTTTAACTTGAGTTTTTTTCAGAAATATTAAACACTTGTATACAATGAACCAAGGCTGTCTTGAAGAACCTCCATCCAAAGTTCATGGCTGTAAATTAGATTTTATTGACTTAATGTAAAAAAACAAAACAAAACAAAAATGCAGTAACTGCAATATGTCCAACTATCAAACTTTATTTGGAGAATACCAATGTGTGCCCCCCTGTCTTATTCATATTAGTGGGTATTGAATGCAAATATGTAGGATGCTGGAGGTTTCCAATTCCTTTAAAATACATAGGATATGACATCAATGCTCTTTATGAATACATTTTTGAATTTCTAAACAACACATATTAGAATCTGTCCCAACATTCAGATTCATTAAAAAATAAAAACATTAAAAAAAAACATACAAATCTCGAATTTGGATGTTTTTGTTTACTTCAACACCGAACCAGCAAGAAGACGTCTTCTGATGTTTTTTTTATTACTGTCTGGTCGTTGTGTTTTCCAGTAGCCATCTTTGTTTGTTTAGGAACCATCAAAGTCACGTGTCAGAAGTTTTCATATTAATTCAACAAAATGTAGTATTTGTCATTTGGAGTATCTAAGTGACTGCAGAAATATCTTCAAACATCTGCGAGTGTTGACTTATTCTTGACACATCAATTACTATCTTTTAACAGCGCTTAGCCTACATTTGTTAGAGCGGGGCAATAATTGTCAACAAGAAGGATGGGCATGTGAAAAAAGTTGTTTAATTCTGTGCTATTATTTTGCCTTTTTTTTTACAGCAGATGTAAACGATAGGTTTTGGTCTCAAAGCAAAAAGTTGTATCTGCACTCCTAGCAACGGTCACCCTACACCAGGGATTGGGCAACTTTGGTCACAGCAAGGGCCACATTCATTTAATTCTCACTGCCAGGGGGGCCAAATTGTAGGATACCAAAAACAATTACAGTCAATAATGTCTCAAATTTAACTCAACATATACCAGTGATCAAATATTATTATGGACATATTTCTGGTTTTCATGATTTCATGGCAGATTTTTGTCATGTTTTTCTTCATGTTTCCAATTAATTGATATGTAAAAATTCACCCGAGGGGCCACGTTGAGGGTTGATGGGGGCCGCCAGTTGCCCACCCCTGCCCTACACGGTTTGCTGAACTATAGATTAAACCAGGACAATAACTGAGAGTACAGTACATATCTGATATAGCCACCATGTATCGAATTAGTTTATGTTCATGAGGCACTTTAGATTATATTGCAATGAAACTTCCCATTGACCTACATATTATAGAAGCTATGCGCCAATTTACTGCTCAGCGCAAAGTGTCAGAGAGACGTGCATCGTGACCGACAGAGGGAGTACCTCTACTGTACGTCCCTGCAACAGCTCGATTTCCTTTATCTCCTTATGTTCTGAATGCGGCAACTATCTTCGTCCTAATGCGCCCGCTCCGGCACTACCACCTCCTCCTCCTCCTCCTCCTCCTCTCCCTCCTGGAAGAGCAGAAACAGGTAGGACACACTTCTGCTTTGCAAAACATCACTCACTTATCCAGTAAGTTGGGGTGGCGGTGGAAGATTGTCCTTTTGTTGTAGTTTTTATGTTCCCGTCCTTACTTTGTTCATACCATAGTTAGGAGAGTGCGGCTCTAATGTGCACAGTCAATGATAATGGGGGGGGGGATAACCTGGCATCCGTAGTGAAATGCGTCGGCAGGACTGACACACTGTTGCTACCCATTCTGTCTGCTGTCGTTTCCACGGATACCTGCGTTTGACGGCAGGTATGCAGTGGTACTGAGGGGATGGATGAAATAATTAGATTTCTACTTTCCTCTTTTGTTTCATGGATATATGCTACACATTCACAATTTGGAATATTCTTTTCACTGTAGAAAGTGTTACATGGCATATTGATGATGTATTTAGGCGACCTATATTTTCTGTTCTTCATACTTCTCCCTGAGAGCAGTACAACTCAAGCAAACCCTGTCTCTTATGTGAATTCCTTGCATAAAAAAAAAAAAAACAGAGTTAGGCATCCACATTTTTAACAACCCTCACCGCAGTTTCCAAGTTATTTCCCTAATAACCCTCCCTAGTCCCTCCCTAATAACCAAATGTCCAGGATGAAATATTCCTATTAAATAACACACAATTTTACCACTTACCCAAGTTGTGCATTTAAAAGAAACTATTTTTTAAACACTTGCTAAATGCTTT